GGCTGTTGGGCCCAGGGCAGTGGCAGATGGGGACAGAAGGCTTGTAGTATTGTGGTCGGTTTGAAAGACAGTGAGGGTCTGCATCCTTGGAGAAGAGATTAATGACACCCATCTTCCTTTTGTAGCCCGCTCCCAAAAGACTTCGGGCATCGGGCGCCTGATGGTGCATGTCATTGAAGCCACAGAATTAAAAGCCTGCAAACCAAATGGTAAATGCTGCTTTCATTCATTCAACAGATATGGTAACTGCCCCACCCCAGTCTTTGCTGATGACTTTTTTTTTTTTTTTTTTTTTTTTTGAGACGGAGTCTCACTCTGTTGCCCAGGCTGGAGTGCAGTGGCACGATCTTGGCTCACTACAACCTCTGCCTCCTGGGTTCAAGTGATTCTCGTGCCTCAGCCTCCCAAGTAGCTAGGATTACAGGCACACACCACCACGCCTGGCAAACTTTTGTATTTTTAGTAGAGGCAGGGTTTCACCATGTTGGCCAGGCTGGTCTCGAACTCCTGACCTCAAGTGATTGGCCTGCCTTGGCCTCCCAAAGTGCTGGGATTACAGGTGTGAGCCATTGCACTCCACCACTGATGACTCTTCTGAACACTGAATGATGGGATGCTTTTTTAATAGTCAGTGTGTCCAGTGCCACTAAAATGCCCGTATTGGACCAATATTCTTATCACTGTTTCCCCCACTAAGTACCAGTGCCTACCTTCCCAAGTGTGTCTGTGCTGAGGAAGCATGCGGCAGGTTGCAATTATACTCACCCAGGCTTGCTCCGTGGGCAGTGCTGCTACGTGCTGGCAGTGGAGCTCTCGGCCACTCCCCAGGTATATGCTGCTGTCACTACTGGGAACTCAAAGACCCTGTCACTAGACCACAGGGGTATGGTACTCCAGGCATTGGCTCCTGCTGCCGTGGTCTAGAGTGATGCATTATGTGGGATCCTGCTTCTGCTCAGGAGGGCACTGTCAATCACTCGTTTTACCTGCATGCACCACATGTCTGTGCTTTTTGTTCAGGAAAGAGCAACCCATACTGCGAAATCAGCATGGGCTCCCAGAGCTACACCACCAGGACCATCCAAGACACACTCAATCCCAAGTGGAATTTTAACTGCCAGTTCTTTATTAAGGATCTCTACCAAGATGTGCTGTGTCTCACCCTGTTTGACAGAGACCAGTTTTCACCAGATGGTAAGTGTTGCTCAGTCAGGGGCTTTCCCAGTTTCCTAGATTCTGGAGTCCAGATCCAGGGGCCTCAGCTGTGTGCAGACCCCATGCCACTTCGGGGAAGTGACACAGGCCTGTGTCATCTCACTTTGGCAGCAGGTGGGTGGGTGCCTTTTCTCAGGGGAGGGGGTGGCCTCAGATGTGTTTCAGGTCTTTGACCTATCACTCCCTACATGCATGATGTAAACACTGCTCCTGGAGCATTCCTAGAATGGAGATTTGAGCCGGGTACAGTGGCTCACAGCTTTAACCCCAGCACTCTGTGAGGCCAAGGATCACGAGGTCAGGAGTTCGAGACCAGCCTGACCAAAATGGTGAAACCCCATCTCTACTAATAAAGTACAAAAATTAGCCAGGCGTGGTGGCGTGTGCCTGTAATCCTAGCTACTTTAGGAGGCTGGGGCAGGAGAATCACTTGAACGCAGGAGGTGGAAGTTGCAGTGAGCTGAGATTGTGCCACTGCACTCTAGCCTGGGCAACAGCGACACTCTGTCTCAAAAAAAACTAAAGAATGGCGATTTGAATTCCACATGGGCAGCTTCTCTCATACAAACCTGCTATCATCCCTCATGCACCCATTCACAGTATTAAACACCCATGAACCAAAAGAAGTTCCTTGTTTCAGATTTCAAGCTTCTATGAATCCTATTTCAGACACTTTTCCGGATGTGCTCCTTAATGATTTTATAAAGAAGAAAGACTTCTGACTCTATGTTTATTCACTAGATTTCCTGGGTCGTACTGAAGTTCCAGTGGCAAAAATTCGCACAGAACAGGAAAGCAAAGGCCCCACGACCCGCCGACTGCTGCTGCACGAGGTCCCCACGGGGGAGGTCTGGGTCCGCTTTGACCTTCAGCTTTTTGAGCAAAAAACTCTCCTGTAGGGGGTTCGAAAGGACAGCACCAACGGGTCTGCCCACAGGCTGCAGAATGAGAGACTGCGCTCTCTTGGGGCTGAGGGAGCACCATGCAGCTTCACCCCTCACAAAGCCACGCACGCTGGGAGCTCTGTTTTCCTGCACACTAAACCGCTAGCAATCTATGCAAACACCCTTCCTAGAAAGAAACCAAACCCCTTAGCACAGTGCCTTGTCCCAGTGTTCACATGTTCAGCTGTGTTTAGATGCCAAGGTTTCCATTTTCAGGGCTATAAAAGTATTACATGGAAATGAGGCATCAGACCACCAGACGTTACTGCTTGGTTGCATGTGTCCACTGTGGAGTGGGTTGGTGACGCTGTAACCATTCCACGCCAGTGACCTCTGCTGGGTCACAGCCACTCAGGAGGGGAGGGGTCGGGATGAGATGCTGCAGCCTTGGCACTTGCGCGGCCTGATACTGAAATAGCGTCTACTTGTGCACTGAATAAAAACAGAAACTTGACCATTTTACTCCTGATTAGATTTTATCATTCTCTGCTAAGACAATATAGTCCGAAATTTAAGTGGGAAAGCTTGATTTAAATACTGTGAACTCTAATAATGTGGAAAATATTTTTCAGCTTTAATTTTCTGAAGTATAAATTATTTATGTAAATTCACTGTTGTTGCATATTTCATAGGACATGCATCTTTAAGCTTTATCATTGCCAATATGTACAGACAGAGAATAAAGACATACATTTATGGATGGAACTTCTTTCAAAGCCTGACTCATTTACTTTCTACATGAAAGGGTTTTTTTTCTTCTTTTTAATTTTCTCAGCCAGATGAAAGGCTCTTAAAAGGTAACTTCAGAAGCTGCCTATAATGAAACCAAATTTCCTTCCTGGTACGTGGGAAAACCCCAGGACAGGGTGGGGATGAGGTCAGGAGACCCAGGGCCTCATCTTGACTCTGCCGCTAACTTGCTCTGTGACTTCGGTGAATCCACCCCGTGATTCTAGGGCTGGGTTTCTTTAGTGGGTGAAATGGATAATCTCTGTGGGAGCTACCGACGCTCTGTGTCCTTTAGTTTGCCTCATCGAGTGATAACCTCAGGGTAACTTACAGCAGAGAAATGCGTAAAGGTCTTACACACCAAAGATTAATGAGTAAAAACAGAGAAAAGATCTGTTCTCTTGTTTTTGTTTGAGACGGAGTCTCGCTCTGTCACCCAGACTGGAGTGCAGTGGTGTGATCTCAGCTCACTGCAACTTCTGCCTCCATGGTTCAAGCAATTCTTCTGCCTTAGCCTCCCAAGGAGCTGGGACTACAAGCATGTGCCACTATACCTGGCTAATTTTTGTATTTTTAGTAGAGACAGGGGTTTCACCATGTTGGCCAGGCTGGTCTCAAACTCCTGATCTCAAGTGATCCGCCTGCCTCAGTCTCCCAAAGTGCTGGGATTACAGGCATGAGCCACTGTGCCCGGCCAGATATGTCCTTTTGAAGGAATCACTTGAGTTGCCAGGGCCCTGATTTCTTTTTTTTTTTTGAGACGGAGTTTCGCTCTTGTTACCCAGGCTGGAGTGCAATGGCGCGATCTCGGCTCACCACAACCTCCGCCTCCTGGGTTCAAGCAATTCTCCTGCCCCAGCCTCCTGAGTAGCTGGGATTACAGGCATGCACCACCATGCCCAGCTAATTTTTTGTATTTTTAGTAGAGATGGGGTTTCACCATGTTGACCAGGATGGTCTCGATCTCTCGACCTTGTGATCCACCCGCCTCGGCCTCCCAAAGTGCTGGGATTACAGGCTTGAGCCACCGCGCCTGGCCCCAGGGCCCTGATTTCTAAGGGAGCAGGTCTCCAGGCAGCTGGAGGAACCAGGAAGGATTCAAATGTCCCAAGGGCTTGGGCCTCCACCATAGCCCCTGCTTCTCTTTAAACATAATTGCTGGGCAAAGGGCTGGAAAACAGAACCAGCACATTCAGATTTAAAAATCCATCACTCAGTTATAAATCCTGGGCACTGTGATTGGTTAACATAGACACAGAAAAGATAAGATGCCACTGGACATATGAAACCAGAACAACTGAACGTACTGCTTGCTTGTGGGAAACTCTGGCTAGTCAGGCCCAGTCTCACTGAGCAGAGTGAACTGCTGGCTGTCTCTAGGGTTGGGGCTTGTTGGTTACAAGGCCAGCCTGTCTGATGTCAGCAGTAAGGCTGCCCCTGATGACTTAAACCCAGCTCTACGCTTACTTGGAACGAGAGCTACGGAACTGTCCTGTGTTCCCAGGGCTGTGGGGACTGTAATCCTCACTGGGACAAACTGTGGCAAGTGCCATTTCTCCACTACTAGGTATGACAGGACTCTTTGGTCAGATTTAAGACAGAGGACCCTCAGGACCAGGGTCAGACATCCTCTATGAAACCACAGACAAAACGGAGCATTGTCACACCGGGCCACTCCAGCTGTCCCCTTCCACCTAGGAACGCGCACCTGCCCCTTGAGAGGCACTTTTGGGAGGATGTGGGGTGTGCCTGAGTCTCCGTACCTCCACCCCAGCAGGACCTGGCATATGTGCCTCATGTGCCTGGACATCTCCCCTCTGTTGAGGAACCCCCTCCCGCCAGCAGGTCCTTCCAGTGCTCTTCAGGAGCAAGTGCCATGGTGGGGGAGGGGCACTCGACTCCTACTCCCCCAGGGAAGGAGATAAACACGTGCTGTGTGGCACCTGAGGGACTGGCCTGAGAGAACACTGCCACCTCTAAGCAGCTCACCAAGCCTCAGAGCACTGTGGTTGGGAGAGGATAGTAGTATATTGCTGTGAAAACTTTTCAATGAACAAAGTACCTCACAGGGATCCTGATTCACAACAGGAGCTCAATAAATACGAACTACTCTGATTCGAATATTCCTTGCCATTTATTTCCACTTCTGGAGAAAGTGTGTTTAGAGTATTTTAACTGTGGTACAGACACTGCCAAGTCAAGTCCACTTAGCTTCAGTACCAAGGGTGGCCCGACCTGGCCGCCTTCTGCAGGGAGGCCAGGTGCTGCCCCAGGACTTCAGCTGTCATCACTCTTCTTCCCACAGGCTGGGGACCCCTGTGCTGTTGGCTGTCCCCAGCAGCCCAGGAGTGGGGTCTCTGCTGTCTGGTTCCTAAAACCTAGCGACAGAAGAGAAGGGCTGAGTGTAGTGCAGGGATGCGGGGCTTACATGTGCAGGGAGGACCCCCGCTGACTCTGCCCCACACTCGGCCCTCCTGCTAGAGCTGAGACCCCGGATTCGAGCAGGCTTCTGGCCAGCCCTCTTGCTTTACCCACCCCCACCCACACACACTGTCTGGTTCCTGCAACTCTCAGATGAGGCTGTCTATATCTTTGAATTCCACAAAGAACTAACACTCTTGTGGTAAGTACAGCAGAAATGACCAGCTGGCCACAAAATGCTCCCTCCTCTGCCACTGTGGCCAGATCAAAAATGGAACACTTTTTCCCTGCACCCCTGTATCCTACAGTTAGGGACAAACATGGGACTGGGCCCTAGCCCAGGGAATATCAGAGGAAATGACATGCCACCTCCAGCCTGGCCCACTTACACCGGACTCCCAGGAAGAACTCATCCATAATCTCTCCCCTTTTCAGGTTGACAGGAACTCATTCCTGGGGCAACCTCAGAAGCCAGGTGCTGAAGATGACAAAGGTCCATGAGATAGGGCCCCAAAAGACTGCAGGGGGGGACAGCCTGCTGACCTGCTGGGACAGTGCCAGGACAACAGCGAAACTCAACTGCTACTGCATTTAACTTCAGAACACTTGGGTCTACTAGTGTAGTTCCCCCTACCTTTAAGGGTAGAACTGACCACAGTCACATTAAGATCTGATATAAACAGGTGGCACTATATCAAACTAAAAAGCTTCTGCACAGCAAAGGAAAGAAAACGAAAAGGCAACCTACAGAAAAGGAGAAAATATTTCCAAACCATGTGTCAAATAAGGGGTGAATATCCAAAACAGATAAGAAACTCATTCACCCCAATAGCAAAAAACAACCCAATTTAAAAATGAGACAGAATTTTTCTAAAGCCTCTCTCCTGCCCCCTCAAAAAATGTACAGATGGTCAAGAGGTATACAAAAAGGTGCTCAACATCACTAATCATCACTGAAATGCAAATCAAAACCACAATAAGTTGTCACTCACACCTGTTAGGTTGGCTGTTATGAAAAAGTCAAAAGATAACAAGCGTCCCTTGTGTGGGAACCTTCGTGTGGGTAACCCCCCATGTAGGCACCGAGGAATGAGAGCTAAGCAGAACCCTGGCATAGTTAGGGCTTGAGGAATATCTCACCTTATAGTGTTACTACTCAGCTATTTCCTTTTATATAATCCTTTAAATAATCATATATTTGTTTATAGAAATAGGGCTTGAAGGCTCTCTTTATATAATCCTCTATATGTAATCATATATTAGTTGATAGTATGAGTGCCTAAAGAATATTTCCCTACATATATACCTATAATTATATCTTACTTCATAATCGGAGGAATGCCTAGAGCAAACACAGTGCAGAGCATGATTTAAGGGACAAACAATTATACCAGGACAAGAATCCATGGCCAAGCGGCAGCGTTCAGTATTGTAAAGGTACCCGCTGTATGGCAGGCTTGGGGTGAGAGTCACTCCTCCTGATAGGTTGTAGGACCTTGCTCCAGTTCTTCTGGAAGGCTGCCCTCAGACTGGCAATCCACCTTGGTGACTGTGAACTTTATCAGCTCTTGCTACTGTGCTGTTTGAAAAGCATCTTCCCATAGAACCCATTGGAAGCTACCAGAAGGTGGCGGTAACCTTGACAGCTCTGTCACTGCTATGTGACTTAAAGCATCCTCCTATAAATCTTCTTAGAGGCCGGGCGCGGTGGCTCAAGCCTTTAATCCCAGCACTTTGGGAGGCCGAGGCGGGTGGATCACGAGGTCGAGAGATCGAGACCATCCTGGTCAACATAGTGAAACCCCATCTCTACTAAAAATACAAAAAATTAGCTGGGCATGGTGGCACATGCCTGTAATCCCAGCTACTCAGGAGGCTGAGGCAGGAGAATTGCCTGAACCCAGGAGGTGGAGGTTGCGGTGAGCCGAGATCGCGCCATTGCACTCCAGCCTGGGTAACAAGAGCGAAACTCCGCCTCAAAAAAAAAAAAAAAAAAAAAAAAAAAAATCTTCTCAGAAGTAGTTTGCCCATAGATAGAAGTATTGCACACTGCACCCTCTTCACTGCGCACAGCCCACCTTCAAGCCTCGGTGACCTAGTGGGGGTGGACCCCTTACTCCACACAGCCCTTGCCTTCATGGGAATAGGCCCCTTGCTGTGCACCGTCCACCTCCTGGCCTAGGTGACCTAATGGAGGTGGAACCCATGTTTTATTGCTCATGACTCTATCACTATCCTTAAGATGATTTCACTCACTGCCCTGCTCCCTAACCTATACACAATAAATATTCATATTTCTGGACATTCGGGGCCTCGCCTGACTCCGCTTATAGGTGGCATGGCCCCCTAAGCCCAGCTGCGTTTGCCCTGTACTTCTGTGTCCTGTCTCTTTATTTCTCGGATCCTGTGCCTCAGCACAGCATAAGGCTCACCCAACGACCCTGTGAGGCCTTCAGCCCTACACCTTCGTACACTGTCAGTGGAATGTAGATTACTACCGCCATTACGGAAAACAGCATGGGGGCTTCCCAATAAATTAAAAATAGAATTACCAGACAATTCAGCAATCCCACTTCTGGTTGTATATACATATATTCACCGGAAATAAAATCACTATCTTGAAGAGAGATCCAGTCCCATGTTTGCTGCAGCATTATTCACAATAGCCAAGAAATGGAAACAACTAAGCGTCCGCTGACACGAACAGGTAAAGAAAACATATACGATAAAGGGGAGACCACCACAGATTCCACAGAAATACAAACCACCGTCAGAGAGCACCACAAACAGCTCTATGCACATAAACCAGTAAACCCAGAAGAAATGGATAAATTCCTGGACACTCACACTCTCCCAAGCCTAAACCAGGAAGAAGTCGAAACCCTGAATAGACCAATAACAAGGGCTGAAGTTGAGGCAGCAAATAAGAGCCTATCAACCAAAAAAAGCCCAGGTCCAGATGGCTTCACAGCCGAATTCTACCAGACATATGAAGAGGAGCTGGTACCATTCCTTCTGAAACTATTCTAAACAATACAAAAAGAGGGAATCCTTCCCAAATCATTCTATGAGTACAACATCATCCTGCTACCAAAACCCAGCAGAGACTCAACAAGAAAAGAAACCTTCAGGCCAATATCCATGATGTACACAGATGCAAAAATTTTCAATAAAATACTGGCAAACCGATTGCAACAGCACATCAAAAAGCTTATCCATCATGATCAAGTAGGCTTCATCCCAGGGATGCAAGTCTGGTTCATCATACACAAGTCTATAAACGTAATTCACCACAAACAGAACCAAAGACAACAACCACATGATTATCTCAATAGATGCAGAGAAAGCCTTATTCAACAGCCCTTTATGCTAAAAACTCTCAATAAACTAGGTACTGATGGAATGTATCTCAAAATAATAAAAGCTATTTATGACAAACCCACAGCCAGTATCATATTGATTGGGCAAAACCTGGAAGCATTCCCTTTGAAATCTGGCACTAGACAAGGATGCCCTCTCACCACTCCTATTCAATATAGTATTGGAAGTGCTAGCCAGAGCTATCAGACAAGAAAAAGAAATAAAGGGTGTTCAATTCTGGTATTTGCATCTAGCAATACAGAAGAAAAAGCAGCAAGGAGAAAATGTCAAGTCTATAGGACATAAAACGTTTTGGCAGCCCTAGAATTCCCAGTATGAGTCTTTTTCATCAGGAAAATCACATTCTGGCTCAGTCCAGGGTAACACTGGAGGCAATGATATCGATGGCTTGTTATAAGCAGGAGGCAACAGTGAAAGTATTGAATCCTGGCTTTCTTTTCTTAGGAAAGGAGGAAGTCAAATTGTCTCTATTTGCAGATGACATGATTGTATATTTAGAAGGCCCCATCATCTCAGCTCAAAATCTCCTGAAACTGATAAGCAACTTCAGCAAAGTCTCAGGATACAAAATCAATGTGCAAAAATCACAAGCATTCCTATACACCAATAACAGACTTAAAGAGAGCCAAATCAAGAATGAACTGCCATTCACAATTGCTACAAAGGGAATAAAATACCTAGGATACAACTAACAAAGGATGTAAAGGACCTCTTCAAGGAGAACTACAAAGCACTGCTCAACAAAATAAGAGAGGACACAAACAGATGGAAAAACATTCCATGTTCATGGTTAGGAAGAATCAACATCGTGAAAATGGCCATACTGCCCAAAGTAATTTATAGATTCCATGCTATCCCCATCAAGCTATCAATGACCTTCTTCACAGATCTGGAAAAAACCACCTTAAACTTCATATGGAACCAAAAGAGAGCCCACAGAGCCAAGTCAATTCAAAGCAAAAAGAACAAAGCAGGAGGCATCATGCTGCCTGACTTCAAACTATACTACAAGTCTTCAGTAATCAAAACAGCATGGTACTGGTACCAAAACAGAGATATAGACCAATGGAACAGAACAGAGGCCTCTGAGGTAAGGCCACACATCTATAACCATCTGATCTTTGACAAACCTCACAAAAACAAGCAATGGGGAAAGGATTCCCTGTTTAATAAATGGTGTTGGGAAAACTGGCTAGCCATGTGCAGAAAGCAGAAACTGGACCCTTTCCTGACACCTTACACTAAAATTAACTCCAGATGGATTAATGACTTAAACCTAAGACCTAACAGCATAAAAACCCTAGAAGAAAACCTAGGCAAAACCATTCAGGACATAGGCATTGGCAAGGACTTCATGACTAAAACACCAAAAGCATTGGCAACAAAAGCCAAAATAGACAAACGGGATCTAAGAGCTTCTGCACAGCAAAAGAAACAATCAGAGTAAACTGGCAACCAACAGAATGGGAAAAAAGTTTTGCAATCTACTCATCTGACAAAGGGCTAATATCCAGAATCTACAAAGAACTAAAACAGATTTACAGGAAAAAAACAAACCCATTCAAAAGTGGGTGAAGGATATGAACAGACACTTTTCAAAAGAAGACATATATGAGGACAACAAACATGAAAAAATGCTCATCAACACTGGTCATTAGAGAAATGCAAATCAAAACTACATTGAGATACCATCTCATGCCAGTTAGAATGTCAATCATTAAAAAATCTGGAGACAACAGATGTTGGAGAGAATGTGGAGAAATAGAAACACTTTTACACTGTTGGTGGTAGTGTAAATTAGTTCAACCATTGTGGAAGACAGTGTTGCTATTCCTCAAGGACCTAGAAATAGAAATTCCATTTGACCCAGCAATCCCATTACTGGGTATATATATCCAAAGGATTATAAATTGTTCTATTATAAGGACACATGCACATGAATGTTCACTGCAGCACCATTTAAAATAGCAAAGACTTGTAACCAATCCAAATGCCCATTGATGATAGCTTGGACAGGGAAAATGTGGCACATATACACCATGGAATACTATGCAGCCATAAATAACAATGAGTTCATGTCCTTTGTCAGGACATGGATGAACCTGGAAACCATCATTCTCAGCAAACTGACACAAGAACAGAAAATCAAACACCACATGTTCTCACTCATAGGCAGGTACTGAACAATGCGAACAAATGGACACAAGCGGGGGAGCATCACACACTGAGGTCTGTGGAGGGGGAACTAGGGGAGAGACAGTGGGAGGTGGGGAGTTGGGGAGGGATAACATGGGGAGAAATGCCAGACATAGGTGATGGGGAGGAAGGCAGCAAACCACATTGCCATGTATGTACCTATGCAGCAATCCTGCATGTTCTTCACATATACCCCAAAACATGTACCCTAAAACACAAAAAATGTAAAAAAAAAAAAAAAAAGAAAACATATATGGTACACATCCACGGACCATGAACCCACCTGAGAAAAGAAGGAAGTCCTGCCATTTGCAACAACATAGGTGAACGTGGAGGACGTTATGTCAAGTGAAAGAAGCCAGGCACAGAAAGACAAATACTGACTGATCTTATATCATCAGAGGTGTGTGAACCAGAGCAACTCTATCTTAAATAGGAGCTGGGTAAAATGAGACTGAAGCCTACTGGGCTGCATTCCCAGATGGTTATAAGGCATTCTAAGTCACAGGGTGAGATAGGAGGTTGGCCCGAGATACAGGTCATAAAGATCTTGCTAATAAAACGGGCTGCAGTAAAGGAGTTGGCCGAAACCCACAAAAACCAAAATGGTGACCAGAGTGACCTCTGGTCATCCTCACTGCTACACTCCTATTAAAAACGTGTGCTTTGAATGAAGAGATCCCCCAAATAGGCTTTGTGTGAGCAACATGGCTGTTTATCACCTGGGTACACACGGGCTAAGGCTGAAAAGGGCATTAGCAAAGGGCAGTGGGATAGGTGTTGGTTTTATAGGTTTGGGGTGGGCAGTGGAAAATTAAGAGTAAGATCAGTCACAGTGGTGGGGGTAGGGGCAAGGACTACACATTACCATATGTTAGTTACAATGGTGAGTGGGATAAGAGTATTATCCTAACAACAGTTAAGATGGCAGGGTGGGGTGAGGGGCTTGTCCTAAAGCGCTGGGTGATTAGGGACAATTAATCAGCTGAGGCAAGCAGGACTTCAGACTTTCAAGCTCCAGGCTTGCATATGGAGACCTGACAACTCCTACCAGCACCATGACAGTTTACGAATGCCATGGCAACGTCAGGAAGTTACCCTTGATGGTCTAAAAGGGGAAGCCCAAATAATCCACCCCTTGTTTAGCATATTGTCAAGAAATAACCATAAAAATGGGCAACCAGTGGCCCTCTGGGCTGCTCTGTCTATGGAGTAGCCATTCTTTTATTCCTTTACTTTCTTAATAAGCTGCTTTCACTTTGTACTGTGGACTCGCCTTGAATTCTTTCTTGCACAAGATCCAAGAAACCTCTCTTGGAGTCTGGATCTGGACCCCTTTCCTGTAACAATATGTGGAATCTAAAGACATTGAACACATCCAAACAGAGTAGCAGGGTGGTTACCAGAGACAGGGGGCGGGGTGGGGGCAGGGTGGGCACAGTGAGGTGACAGGTGTTGGTCAAAGGGTAGAAACTTTCCATGATAAGACTGAGACAGGAGAACAGGGTCTAGAGACAGGGAACTTAGGGCCAATGTGTAGAAACTTCCTAAAAGAGAAAACACCAAGGTCTGGCTGCAGGAAATCCAAGGCCAATCCAGGTGCCTTCCCACAGCTGGATCACAAGGAAAACACCTGGGTCTCAGGGCAGGAACCTGAGGCCAATTAACATGCACTTCCTAAAGCAGAACCAAAAGGAAAACCCCATGTCCCCAAGCTGAGCAGTGAAGGATTAAAGGCTACTCTCCCTACACCACCTCAGATGGAAAGGGAGAGGGCCTTGGATTAGCTGCGGCAACGCAGGGACCATCCCTTCATCTGCATAGGGCACAAATTCACCTTAGCATTCAATTAGCCAGCGACCAAATCCTTCATCCGGATGAGGGATAGCAGATAAGAACCTCAAACAGGAAACTTAACACCCTTGAGCCCTCGCTGGGCCCACCTGCTCCCACCCTGTGGAGCGCCTTCTCTCTTTCATAAATCCCTGCTTTGGCTGCTTTGCTCCCACATGCCATTCCTCTGCTACTCTGTGAGTTTTGGTCAATTATTTGTTTAAAATGCCAAGGACCTGGATAACTCATACTCAAGACCAGGGGTCCCCAAACTACAGCCCGTGGGCCGCATGCAGCCCCCTGAGGCCATTTATCCAGCCCCTGCTGCACTTCAGGAAGGGGCACCTCTTTCACTGGTGGTCAGTGAGAGGAGCACAGGATGCATTCACATCCTGTGCTCCTGGAGTACTGTATGTGGCGGCGCCGCAAAGCGCGGCATCGCTCACGTACAGCACTACTTCCGGTGACGCGGGACGCACGCGTCACGGCTCCAGAAGCGCGTAGGAAGAAAGGCAAAGCACTATAACCATTACTACACAGTACAATGGCCCCCATACTCCCCCAAATGTACAACAACATTATGGCCCCTATAACCTCCCTTTGCCCAAGTCTCCCCCCACGTTACTATACACCATGTTTCCCCTATTATAAGACCCTGTCTTATATTAATTTTACCCCCACAAGACGGGGGCTGTCTTATTTTTAGGAGGTGTCTCATAATAGGGGAAACATGCAGCAGTGGGCTTCCCACAGAAGAGGCCCACCGCTGCTGCAGATGTCCAGGACGCTGTATACACAGTGTCACAGGCTGATCACCACCATCCCTGTATACAGCACTGGAGGCGGTGCTGGGCCTGTGACACTGTATACTGCTGTCTGGGATAGTGGAGGCAGCAGCGCTGGCTGTGAAGGGTGCCACACCTTGCATAGTCCGGCCCTCCAATGGTCTGAGGGACAGTGAACTGGCCCCCTGTGTAAAAAGTTTGGGGACCCCTGCTCAAGACCCTCCACGGCTAACAGTACATTCTAGAGGCCTGATGGACAACATGATACTATAGTTACTAACAACGTGTACTTGCAATTTGCTCAGAGTAGATTGTGAGTATTCTCACTGCACACACAAGAAAACAGTAACTGAGTTGGTGGATATGTCAACGAGCTTGACGGTGGCAAACATTTCACATTGAGTATCTATAGCAAATCACCACGTTGTACATCTTGAATATTTGAAAGGAATGAGCAGCTCCTGTGCTCTCAGATAAATTATGCTCAGAGGAAACAGCTTAAGAGTCACAGGTAACTTAGCACAGACGGAGAATCCTTTACTCCCTGGAGAGCCTGGGGACAGCAATGAAGCAGAGCAGGAGCTGGTCACAAAATCCCTAACCAGGGTCACAGGCTGGAGAGCAACTGAGTCCCGCCCTCTGTGCGTGGTGGTGAGGGGTGAGCCGAGCCTAGGCCTTCCCGGGAGGATCCTGCGCTCCAGGCCTCAGGGTACAGGGAGTGACAGAGAGAACGGAAGGAGAAAACTGTGTCGAATCAACCATGAGCTCTGGGTAAGAAAGCTGTACTCAGAAAATTCCTACATATAAAATACCTTTTAAATATTAAAAAAAACTTATCTTGCCCTAATTTTTTGGTATAAATTTCATTTCAAAAACTTCCCACCTGTTGTGTGTGGACCAAGGAGAACACCATTTTTGGTGCGGTTTGGATGGACTAAGTGGAAAATGGCGGGAAAATGGCAGAAGGGCAAAGGCCTGGGTGAAGGCGCTGAAGAAATCTCAGAGAGAAAAGCCCCTTTGGCCAGGCTGGCCCTCACCTTGGAAGGACAGGATCTGTCCCCAGAAAGTGGAGTCCAGGTCCCACATTTACCACTTATCTGAGTTTCTTCCTGCAAGGCTTCCCCACCCAAGGGTCCCCGTCAGAGCTGCGGCACTGAGCCTGAGGCCACCCGCCATTTCTTCCTCCTCCTTTTCAGACCCTTCTTCTTGGGTCATCCCTCCTCTGCCCTCGAGTGCTCGTCTGACAGGTAGGGCTGTGGCGCTGGCTCATTCTAGAACCAGTGCGTGCTGCTCATGGGGGCTGCAAAGCCTTGCTTCCCAGCCACAAAACCTTGCTTCCCAGCCCCACCTCACAAAATACCTAACCAGGTTCACAGGCTGGAGAGCAGCTGCAGGCCCATCCTCTGGGTGTGGTGGGGAGGTGGGGAGTGTCTGCTCACCAGGCCCTTCCTTTCATCCACTTTGTTCTTCTGGCTGAGCTTTGAGGAAAGGAACTGCTTTTCAAACGCAGCCTGACTTAGGTCGGTTGTCTTTTTCTCTGTTCTTTTGTGTTTCTTTTCTGTACAGATGAGCTTTTCAGGACTGTGAAGAAAAGCAGAAAAACTTATCTTGATTCAGCACTAATGGAACTGTACCATCAAATAATTTTGAAGATTAATGTAATGAACTCAATAGTCACTTTTAAGAAGGAACGACTGAGCAGCCATCACTGGTAGCTGTGCCTCAATCTGCCTGCCCTGCCCGTATCTCTGCTGGCCCAATCCCTAGGGAGGCGGTGACTCAGGGATGCTTCCCCAGCCATGGCTGAGGAACCAGGTCCAGAGCCTCAATCCCTATGGCTGCAGTTGGGACAAAGGGGCTTCCAGGCAACCTCTGAATGATCAAACCAGAAAGTCAGACGGGATGGTGCTTCCACTTTCCAGCATACTCACAGGAAAGCAGAAAAAGCCTGTGTGCAGAGAGAAACGAAGCAGGTTCACGAAGAGAAGTGATGGTGAGTGCCACATAGCCACAAAGAGGCAGGGACTGGCCTCCCAGTCAGTCTCCCGAGCTGGCTGGCTCCCTTCCTGGTTTGGCTTCCATGACATACCAGTGTTAACATATCTAGCCCCTCTCCCTGCCTTTCATTTGAGAAGGATTCTGGCTTTTGTAATCAAACTGTCTCTGCCTCACCTCAACACCTTGCTCTCAAGTCCTTTACTTACTTCATCAAACAGCCATGTGAGACATCCTCTGGGTGTGTCCTACCGGAGGGATTTCACCAGGGCTGCCACCATTTCTGCCCCAGGAAGCCTAGCCCTATCGAGGGAAATAAGCCTTCTCTTTTCTTCCTCCATTAATTCATTCAACAACCACTTATTCATCATCTACTATGTTCCAGCTAAGTGCTGGGAACACCAAGATTAATACATAGTCCCTGCCCTCAAGGGGCTTGCTGATGGAGGAAAGAGCTGGTAAGGGGCTGCAGAGTTCTACATCTCTGTGATAACTGCCCTCTTGCCTGCACTAGAATGGCCAGTGACAGACAGAGCAAAGGCAGGCAACACCCTGGCAGGTCAGGGAGTTATGAACATGCTGACTTGACCCAGAGGTTTCTGTGGTTAATTATTCTTTCTTTTCTTTAGGCCGATGGGACTTTTGAGATGAAGCCGGAAGGGTGGCAGGGCCCAGATGGTGCCTCATGTGCCATGTTGAGGGCCTGGGCTTTGTTGTAAGGGGAAGGGCACTGAAGGGTTTCCAGTGGAGGAGTGCTGATCCCTTCAAAAAGACCACTCCGGCTGCTGAGCAGACAACGGACTGGAGGAGACCAGCCTGAAGGAGGAACACCAGCGGAGGAGCCAGACGGGAGATGAAGCCACCAAAGCAACATGAAGCCTTTGTCTTGTGGGGATGGGGGTTATGTAATGACTGGTGTTTAAATAAAAATGTTTGTTAAAAAGATAAAGAAACCATAAAACCAGAAATAATACATAAAACTTCCAAATCACTAGGGGAAGCAGAAACAAAGTAGTACTGTTTATTCCAACAAAACTCGGGATGGGGAATGGAAACTAAATACCCAGAGAGTGTAATAGACTTCCACTTTTGTGTAGACTATAGAAGTCTGCACAGGCTAAAAGTCCTGCTGAAATAAATAGAAAAAAAAAAAAAAAGGAAATTTACCACCAAAATCAAGAATTTTAAAATCACTGGACAGCTTTAAAACCAATTCCAGAGAGGGGAGAGCCTTCAGGAATGAGCTGACAATCTCCAACTCTTGCCTTCCTCTGTGGGGGCATTTCAAGCCCAGGTCACCAATATTAAGTACCAGGGTAGAAACTGATTTCTCTGTAATTCTAGCATCTTTTGTGGTTTTTTTTCTTCTTGGGTCTGGCTGATGTCCTGGCAGGTGGGCATTTAACCTTGTTCTTAACATCTCCCTCCCCTGATAGACAAGTCAAGCAATGCACTTGGCTTTATCGATGGAGGACAGAAACTCTCCAGGCCCCAGGTACAGAAAGCATTCACCAAAACCTACTTGAAGAAGAATCAAGGAGGGTTGGAGTAGGGGAAGGGAGAGCATTAGGACAAATAGCTAATACATGCTGGGCTTAATACTTAGGTGATGGGTTGATCACCTAGGCACACATTTACCTGTGTAACAAACCTGCACATCCTGCACATGTACCCCAGCACTAAAAATTTTTTTAAAAGAATCAAATAGTAATCCTAGGTCTATAAAATAAAATAACTGAAAATAATAGTGGATGGGTTTAACAACAAACAGACATAACAGAAGAAACAATAAAATATCTGGAACCAAACATGGGAAGACAAAAAGGATGGAAAATACACAAAAATGATAAGAGACAGACAGAGGATCAGTAAGAAAATCTAAAGTATATTTAACTTGAGTACCCAAAACAGTGGAGAGAATATGGCAGAGGTAACAAAGAGAAAATAACTGAAAACTTTCTAGAACTAACGAAAGACCTACAAATACAAGATGACCCATGAATTCCAAGTAGGATACATGAAAAGAAAGCCACATCTAGAAACATCATGCAATACTACAAAAAACAAAGACAATGAGAAAATCATAAAAAGCATCCAGGCCAAAAGACAGATTACCTTCAAAGGAACAACAGTAAGACTAGCAGGTGACTTCCCAATTGAAAGAGTAAAAGACAACAAGATATCTGTTGAAAGAAAATAACTGCCAATCTAACATTCTTAATCCTGTGAAAATATCCTTTAAGAACAAAGGTGAAATCTGAAAATGCTAAGTGTTGTATGATTCCAATGTTGTATGACATTCTGTAAAAGGCAAAACAATGAATATAGTTAAAAAAAAAAATCAGTGGTTACCAGGGGTTAGTGGGGAGGAGAGATGAATGGGGCAGAGATGATTTTTAGGACAATGAATATTCTGTGTGACATTAGAGCAGAATAATAGATACATGTCATTGTACATTTGTCAAAATGCATAGAATGTACAACAGAATGGAAACTATGAACTTTGGTTGATAATGTCAATGTAGTTCGTGCCACTGTGGTGCAGGATGTCAACAGTGAGGAAAGTTGTGTTTATCGGGGGACAGGAGGTGTATGAGAACTCTCTAGGTACTTTCCACTCAAGTCTGCTGTGAACATAAAATTTGTTATGAGAAATAAGATTTATAAAGTTGAAAAAAGAAGGCAAAATAAAGATGTTTTAAAGCAAACAGAAACTGGGAGATTCTTCATAGCAGATGCACATTTATTGAAACTGTAAACTGTATTTCTGTGTTGCTTATTTGTTGTGAGGTACATAGTAGAGTCTTTATAAATGACAGGACATGAGACCTTGAATTTTCCAACAAAAGTGTGAGCACAAAAGGGAGAGTGGGGTAAAGCAAGAGAGAGAGACCAAGTATGGAAAAATGTGGATGGTTGCTGAACCTGGGTGATAGGTTCATAGGAATGTGTTGCACTCTCTACATTCAGTGCATTTAGAAATGTTTGAAATAAAATATTTTAAAAACGAGTCAGTCTAATTTTCCACAGGCTGGGTACAGAGGCTAACAGCTGTAATCCCAGCACTCTGGGAAGCCAAGGCAGGTGGATCACTTGAGGTCAGGAGTTTAAGACCAGCCTGACCAATGTGAAACCCCGTCTCTACTAAAAATATAAAAATTAGCCAGGTATAGTGGTGTGCACCTGTAATCTCAGCTACTCAGAAGGCTGAGGCAGGAGAATAACTTGAACCTGAGAGGTGGAGGTTGCAGTGAGCTTGTGCCATTGTACTCCAGCCTGGGTGACAGAGCAAGACTCCATCTCAAAAAATAAAATAAAAATTTCCATGTTAACAGAACAAAGGAGAAAAAAATTATAATACCAATAAATGCATAAAAAGGAATATATATTTTAAAATCTAGCAAACTAAGAAAACTTAATTTGCTAATGGAAATCTAAAAATAATGTAAAGCACAAAAAAGACCAAAAACTTTCCCATTTGAGTTTGAGAATAATACAAGAAAGCTGATTTTCACTACTTTGACTTTGTGCCAGAAATCTTAACTGGTATTATAAGGTAAGAAAAAGAAATAAAAGGTATAAGGAATGGAAAACAAGAAATAAAATTCTCTGTATTAGAAGACAATATTGTGGGCCAGGGGCAGTGGCTTAGACCTGTAATCCCAGTACTTTAAGAGGCTAAGGTGGGTGGATCACCTGAGGTCAGGAGTTTGAGACCAGCCTGGCCAACATGGTGAAACTCCATCTCTACTAAAAATACACAAATTAGCCAGGTTTGGTGGTGCACACCTGTAATCCCAGCTACTCAGGAGGTTGAGGCAGGAGAATCACTTGAACCCGGGAGGCAGAGGTTGCAGTCAACTGAGATCATGCCACTGCACTCCATCCTGGGTTGACAGAAGGAGATTCCATCTCAAAAAAAAAATAAGACGATATTATTGTGTATATAGAAAATCTGAAACTCTATAGATGAAATGTCAGAATTCATAATAAAGTTTAGCAAGGTTGCCAAATACAAATTCAATATACAAAATCATTTTTATTTCTATACAATAACTACAATTAGATAGAAAATAAAATTATGTATAACAAAATAGGAATAAGTAGGAATAAATCTAAGCAAAGATCTACAAGACCTTTAGACATGGTTTCTCATTCATAGTACTTACTGACATTTGGGGCTAAGTAATTCTTTGTTGTAGGATATTTGGCAGCATCCCTGCCCTCTGTCCACTAGATGCTTATGGAACCCCACTCCCCTGACAACCAGAAATGTCTCCAAACATTGCCAGCTACTTAACCAGTTTGATTAAGAACCACTCCTTTACATGAAATAAGACTCAAGTTAATGGAGAGAGAAATATGTACCATGTTCATGGATTAGAGGACTCAAAATTGTAAAGATGTATATTCTCCCCAAATTGATCTACAGATTCAATGCAATCCCAATCGAAATCCTAAATATTAGGTTGGTGCAAAAGCAACTGCAGTTTTTGTGATTACTTTTTTGTTTGAGGATTTGTTTGAATGTGCATATGTTTCCACATGAAACTTGAGCTAATTATAAAATTTATTGGTATATTTGTTCTATCAAGCATCAAAACTCATTAAAGAGCTATAGTAAACAAATAAGCTAGAATAGAGAACCCGGAAATTAGGTCTATGTAACAGCACTGGATTTGTATAAAAGGCCACACTGCAGAGCAGTAGGGAAATTATTGTATTTTCAATAAATGGTACTGAGAAAAATGGGTTTCAATAGAGGGAAAAAATTAAATTGGGCCCCACATAAAACATATACAAAAACCAATTCTAACTGGATCATAAGCCTATATTTGAAAAGCAAAACTATAAAAGCTATATAGCTTTTGGAAAAGACATTTTTAAATAATGTTAAAAAGCACTAGTTGTAAAGGAAAAGAAAAACAAATTTGACTATATCAAAATTATGACCATTTAAAAATACCATTAGGAAGAATAAAAACGCAATCCACAAAATAGGAAAACATGCTTGCAATACATATAACTGAAAAGGGGTTTATAGCCAGAATATATAAGGAAAATCAATAAGACAGACCAAACATCCCAGAGGGAAAAAAAAAAAAAAAAAAAAAGGCAAAAGTCTTGAACAGATGCTTCTCAAATGAGGAAATCCAACAGCTGATACAGACATGAAAAGTACTTGGTTTCACTGATAATACGGAAAATGCTATTATATAGCAGTCAACTTTATTCAAATGATAATATTATACACCAAGGGTGAAGGAGAATGAGAAGCAACAGTAATTTCTCCTCCATGCTGATGGGGGTGTAAAGTGAAACAGCCTCTTTGCAAAACAGTTTAATGTTATCCCACGACTCGGCAAATTCTACTCTTGGGTATATATACTAAGAAATGTGGATTGTGGGAACCAAAATACCAAACTGGATTGTTCATAATAGCCAAAATGTGAAACAGCCCAAATCCACTAATAGTGGATTGCTTAAATGATGGCATAGTCAAATACAATGGAATACTATAGAAAACAGAAGTTAATACACTAGAGCTATATGCAACAACAGGAAGGAATCTGAAAAGCATAATGGTGAGCAAAGGAAGTCAGTCACACAATGAACTGTACATGTACAAATCTCCAACAGATGAATTTTATGGTATATAAGCTATATCTATCTTTGTTGTGTTTTGTTGTTTTTATGGAGTCTCACTCTGTCGCCCAGGTTGGAATGCAGTGGTGCGATCTTGACTCACTGCAACCTCCACCTCTCGAGTTCAAGTGATTCTCCTGCCTCAGTCTCCTGAGTAGCTAGAACAACAGGCATCTGCCACAATGCCCAGCTAATTTTTGTATTTTTAGTAGAGACAGGGTTTTATCATGTTGGCCAGGCTGGTCTCGCACTCCTGACCTCAGGTGATCCACCCGCCTTGGCCTCCCAAAGTGCTAAAGGTGTGAGCCACTGCCCCCCAACCTGTAAACTATATCTTAATAAAGATTTTTTTTAAAGGATTCAGTCATAAAAGAATAAATGCTTTCAGGCTCTGTTTGTATGAAATTCAAAAATAGTCAAGATAAACTAGATTATTTAAGGATATGAAGTTAGCTGATAACACCATAGGGAGAACAAGGAAGTGAACACTTACAAAGTGAAGAGAACTCTGGGAAGAGGCTGTCTTAGGAGAGGACAGGTTCCCTTTCTTGACATGGCTGGTGATTCCACAGAACTGACTCGGGGACTTGTTAAGCTGTTTATGTTTCATTCTGTCCTCTACATATATTTTATAATATAAAGGTGATAATAATAGTAGTAATAGTAAAACTATAAACTACTAAAAGAAAAAAGTGTGACTAGTTACAAAACCTTCAGCAGGAAATAAAGTAAGTTGCAAGTTAAACAAATATTTGTTTGTTCTACTCATCTGTACCTGCATTTACCACAAGTTTTACTCCTGACTCTTGCAGAGGCTTTCTGCCGCTCCTTCAGAATTACACTGTGTGAAGTGAAAGTGAAGCGGAGCGGGCTGGCACGTGGCCTGGCCTTCTCTATTTCTTTAAGTTCTTTTATGGAATGGTCTTTTCCTATAGGAAGATAAAAAATCAAAATCAACACTCTGAAAGAACTCTCGTTGCTCTTGGAGTGAGAAATCACTTGACAATTAGCGGTCTCAAAAAGATGAGGTCCAGTGGCGACAAAGCACCTGTCTCACACTGAAGACCAGTTCTCTTCTCTTCGTCCACCTCTTGCTGTCTTTGAAACAGAGGATCAAAAAATGGCGGGACTGCAACCTACAAGAAAAATGAGACTCTTTGAGGACCAGAGTGCAGTCTGCATGAAGCTTTTAAAATGTGTCCTACATAAGGATGAGAACGCTAGACCCTGAGGACTACAAGAGCGAGAAGGGCAGAAGGGGGCAAGGGTTGAAAAACTGCCTATTGGGGACTATGCTTACTACCAGGGTGACAGGTTCAATCGCACCCCAAGCCTCAGCAGCACACAATATACGCATGTAAAAAACTTATATATCTACCCATGAATCTAAAAGTTGAAATTTAAATAAATAAAATCTGAACTAAGCCTTCAAGTATGCCATTACTATACACCAAGGCCCAGGAATGTACCAATCCAACCACAGCAGTGGAAGGGTATTGCCTCAGAGGAGGATGTCGCAGAGCCTTAAATGACTAAACCGAGGGAGGGAGGGCGGACCGCCCAGATAGAAGAGACGCACTTCTGTTCAGCATTCTACTGTGCCACTGTATCAGCCAGTAAATATCTGTGTTGCCACTGTGTGCCACACCCAGGCTAGATCCTGTCCTCAAGGATCTCTCAGTCTAGAACAGCCTTGTCATCCACAGTGAAAATCTAGTCCTGAGAGGCGCCAGCTCAGGAGCCTGCAGGAGCAGGGCCACTGCTCCTAACCCAGCCTGGGAGGACCCATGCCTCCTGAGGAAACCGACAAGTGGTCTATAAGGGCCTGTGAGAACAGGGGGTGACCAGAGCTGTGGGTTTATGTCAAGGGGTAGGGACATAAAGAGGTATTTTTTCTCCCTGTTCCTGATCATAAGCCTTAGAAGGGTGATTTTTCCCCTTCATTTCCCCCACAGCACTCATCCCAGTGCTGGACCTGAAGTGCTAGGTAAACAATTACTGAATAAACCAGACAGCGTAACAGCTACTGCCTCCAGCACCCTAGATGATGAAATCCTATCCAGAACCAAAAGAATGTTAGTCTTCATATGGCTGCCCTGGCTTGTTTGTCTGGGAGAAGCAAAAGAAACTACTTCCATCTTCAGAACCATACATATATTTTTTTTAATTAATAGTCATATTAGGTGGCTACTTGTACCGCATAGGAGCAAAACACTGAAACCTACATTTCTCAATTTTAACTCCTGTATTGGCAGTTTTAAAATCTGAAGACTCATTACAACCTCAAGTATTAGCTCTCCTGGACAGCCTTTGCTGACATCCCTCCCATAATCCCTGCGCTGACTTCCGTGACACACTGGCCACACTTCACTGCACAAGCTGTCCACATCTCTCTCCTTCCTGTGCTTCAAGTTTGATGAATGTGAGGTAAATGAACGCACCAATGAACAAATGATCACGTGTATGCATGCCTTGTGCACAGTTTAAATTCTACAGGAGTCTAAATTACTTTGAGTTCCTATTCTAAAACTCAAAGGAAATGCTTTTGTACTTTTTTTTTAATGAATAGAGAGTAACTACAAAACTTCCAAAATGACTAGGTTTTCCCCCACTCCATAGCTCCTAAGAATAAAAAACCCAAGAAACCTGCTCTACCTTTCCTTAATTTGGTTTCTTTTTCTTCATATAAAAGGGAATGTAGGCTGGGCACAGTGGCTTACAGCTGTGATCCCAGCACATTGGGAGGCCAAGACAGGAGCACAAAACCATCCTGACCAACATGTCTCTACTAAAATACAAAAAATTAACCGGGCATGGTGGCATATGCCTATAATCCCAACTACTTGAGAGGCTGAGAAAGAACTGCTTGAACCGGGAGGTGAAAGTTGCAGTGAGCCAAGATCGCACCATTGCACTCCAGCCTGGGCAACAAGAGTGAAACTGTGTGTCAAAAAAAATTTTTTAATTAAAAAAAAAGGGATTGTATACTTCAGGATCATAATGGTCTTCACATATAATTTCCTTCAGATATAAAATACACTTAAGGGAAAATCATTATGCACAAACTGTTTTACAAGATTCACATTATAAAAGCCAAATACTGTATTTCATTTTTATATAAAAGCATAGCTTCAAAGCGTTGGAAGAAACTGCAGAAATAAATTTAGATTGCAATGAGACTCCACCACGTTCTGGGAGAAGTAATCATCTAGCTTTAGTCTGAAGCCATCCATGGGCCTTCGAGAACTTTCTGCTCCGTGAGGCAGGTACTTTTATTTTCGGTAATTTTGACCTCAACAAAGTCTGTCCTTAGGCTGAGCTGAAGTCTGCCTAGTAACTGCAGTTGCAGATACTAGTTCTGTACATCGAATCCATCAGCTAATGTCTGCCTTTAAAATACTTAAAAGTTTCATTCCCCCTCGTACCCTCTTTTCCTTGGGCCAAATACCCCACTTCTTTCCAGTTTTCTTTCCTATAAAGTGGCGTCAAGACTCAACTCTTTTCTAAGGGTTCTGCAACTGATGAGTGTCCCTTCAACAGTGTGACATCAGGAACGACAGGATAAGGACAGGATGGGCCAAGACTCTGATGCTTCCCACTCTAAGCACAGCCTCTTAATACGGCCTGAGAGCTGTATGTTTTCTTGAAACTCAGCTCATATGGTTGATTCACAATGACTTTACTGACATTTAAAATCACTTGGACTTCAGCACATGCCATTTCTAAGATCCTCCCCCTCCTATACTTGTGGAATCACATTTCTGGACACAAATATAAGACTTTGCACTTTAGAGATCTGAATTCAGTTTTGAGCTCTGCCCCTTCGAGTGTGTAGGAAAAAGGATTTAAGGTAAATATTCAGAAATTATGCTCAGTAAATATACTTAAATGTTCTAATATTCCAGTTAAACTACTCTAGGGTCTCACTCTATCACTCAGGCTGGAGTGCAGTGACGCTATCATGGCTCACTGCAACCTCTGCCTCCCAGGCTCGAGTGATCATCCCACCTCAACCTCCCAAGTAGCTGGAACTACAAGTGCACAATACCACACCCAGCTTTTTTTTTTGTGCAGAGGGGGTTTTGCCATGTTGCCCAGGCTGGTCTCGAACTCCTGGACTCAAGCAATCCATCCACCTCAACTTCCCAAAAGTGCTGAGATTACAGAGATGACCCACTGCATTCAGCCACTACTCTAGTTATCTACTATGTATGTGGGGGGAAAGAAAAAAGATCCAGTAGTACACACTTAAAGCCAACAGATTTATATTTGGTACTACAAATAGACAGACCTAAATTCTGAGAGTCCTGACCTCAAAATCAAAAGAATCTTCAAATTAAAAAACCAAATTTGTTTTGCAAAGCCAAACTGTAGAACAAAGTACAGAAACTGTTAGTCCTAATACCTACTGGTTGGCTAACTTAGTCACACAATACCATTCTCCTTTGTCCACTTCCTACTAGAGAGAGAAGAATGCCACAGTGGCTTTGCAGGGCCTGCTTATGGCTAGGACTTGCCTCATGACTCAGTCCTGACCAATGAGACTTAAGGGAAAGTCGGCTAGGGGCCTCTGGGGACTCTTTCTGCTTCCTGCAAAGGAGCAGAGTAAAAGAAGAAGCCCCTGGCACCATTTCTTACCCCTTCTTCCTGCCTTGAATGAAGACCCGATGTCTGGAGCTGTAAGCAACCATGAGGCAAATGTGAGAATAATGAGGATAAACTGAAAATACTAAGGATAGCAGAATAGAATAGAATAGAATAGAAAAAACCTTACATTGTTATGCTGTCAGAACCCACTATGAAACCACGTACCTCTCAATTTCTTGTAAAGTAAATTATAAATGCCTTTATGGTTTAAGCCACAGTAAGTAACTCCATTAATGTCTACATAAACTAATTCCTGATAAATCTAGTTCCAAATCAACAATTCTATCCCCTCCAACCTAAGGCTTAAGAACGCAGTACGTGTATTACAACTCAATGAATTTATCTTAAATACAAAACTAAGCTGCAGATTACTTGTATAACCAGTGAAACTGTTGGACCAATGCTTCAAATAAAGCATAATTTGAAAAAAAAAAACAAAAACAAAACTCAGTACCATTTTATGTCTGTGCTGCAAATAATATTCAACATTCTTTTGTTTCATTTTCTCCAGCCCTTTATATGAAATTACTTTTTCCATAATTCTCTGCTGAAGAGGCTCTGCAACATTTTCAACCCATTTTTTATGCAACATCTCTTTTCTTCTTTCCTTAGAAGTATCCAGATGCTGAAAATATGTATTCAATCTCTAGTGAAGTGATACAAACAAGGAAAATAAATTATAAACAACTGTTTCACTTATCATCATTTGAGTAAGGAGGAAAAAACCACTTGATCCCACTGCTAAGCTCCCAGCCACATTCAGATTGCAAAGTCCCAGTAGAAAATAACTGAACCACAGAATCAAGTGCAGGAAGAGAAGCTGAGAACACAGAGCAGAAGAACTCATATAAAGTTCTAAACCACAACTGTACCTTCAGATTAAACCACATCCAACTCATGAATCAGATTAAGCTACTGCTAACTCATTAAACTCTTGTTTCTTTTTCAGGATTTCCAAAAATTCCCTGATCACCCATTCTGTGTCTAGCCTTCACCATCAGGAAAGTCTGTTACAAAATTGGTAGAGTAAAAGAGCACTAGACATTCTTTGATACCTCTCTCTGGCCTGTAAAAGACAGGTAATCCCACCTACCTCTCTGGATGCTTACATGGGAATTTATGTGCACTTTCTTTATAATTGTAAATTACAATTCAAATGTCAAAGTTTTTTTCTTTTTTCATTTAAAAGACAGGGTCTCACTCTGTCACCCAGGCTGCAGTATTGTGGTATGATCACAGTTCACTACAGCCTCAACCTCCTGGGCTCAAGCCATCCTCTTGCCTCTCAGCCTCCTGAGTAGCTGGGATTACAGATGTGTGCCACCATGCCTGGCTTGTCAAATTTTCTGTAGTGACAGGGCCTCACTATGTTGCCCAGGCTGGTCTCAAACTCTCAAACTCCTGGTTTCAAGCAATGCTCTTGCTTCAGCCTCCCAAAGTATTATTATAACTCTGTCTCTCTCGTTGAAATTAAATACCTCTTAAGCTAATTTCACAGTGACTATCAGTTATTGATTGGTCATAACCCTTAAAAGCTTAATTTGTTTCTAGTAGTTTTATATATGCCCACTGCAATGTGGAAACATAAAGAAGCAAGTGTGGGTAGGAAGGAATTTCTATTCAGTCCCAGGACGAAGAGAAGGAGCAATCAGAACAATTTCTCAGATCCCTTCAGGACAGATCCAAGTGGGATTAGGGACCTCTTAGTGATTCTGCAAGAAGGGGGAAAAACCTCAGATCCATGTAGTACAAACAATTCGAGGATCCTCATTCTCCCTGCAAAATGAGTCTCTTGGATCACAGTAACATAAACTCTTGGCCATGTTGTTCTGCACATTCTTGCTCCCCTACAACACTCTTAGAATGCAGTGTGGAGCCAACTCTTACCTTCACAACAGAATTTTCTCTAAATAATATTGCATGTACTGCTTCATCAATGTCTTCTCTAGCTAATACCTAAAATTACAGAATTGAACATTAGGATGTAAATCCTGAAGAAACAAACTATAATGACAAACTACTCAGTGTACTTTACTCAATAGTTTTGGTATAAATCTTGAGCCTTATTCTGTAACATAAAAATATTGAAAATTTCTAAACCCATTCTCCATGAACCCATCAACCAGGCTCAAGAGTGCTTAACTCAGAGTCAATCATGTTTCATTCAGTAAATCCCTACTCATTTTCAGCACCGCCCCCCCCCCCACTATTTTAAAACAAATCCCTGATAGTTTATCATTAAATTATGTTTTAAAGCACTAAGCAGCTTATTAAAAGCATCCTCTATAAAGTGAATCCTCTTTTCAGGCATTCAGTAGGTGTTTTTTGTTTGTTTCTTGAGGCAAAGTCTGGCTCTGTCACCCAGGCTGGAGAGCAGTGGGAAGATCTCAACTCACTGGAATCTCCCCACCCCCAGGGTTCAAGTGATTCTCCAGCCTCCCAAGTAGCTGGAATTACAGGCATGTGACATCACACCTGGCTAATTTTTGTACTTTTAGTAGACACGGGGTTTCACCATGTTGGCCAGGCTGCTGTCGAACTCCTGACCTCAAGTGATCCACCCACCTAGGCCTCCCAAAGTGTTGAGATTATAGGCATGAGCCACTGTACCCAGCCAGTAGGTGTGTTTTGAAGGGCCCTTGAAGTCTCCTGCCTTTTGCTAGATCTCTTCATAAGTCAAAAACCACAGAAAGTTTGATTTAGTTCAACTGGTCCAGTCTCAGAGCTAATTAGTGGGAGCTCATGGCCTCCAACCAATACCGTCGACATCTAGGGACCTGCTGTTTCCATTATGAGTGTGGGTAAAGCTGATGCATTTTAATCCCCACTTTAGGGCTTTTTCAATTGGATCATTATGAACTGATCTCTAGTTTTTATTCTTATAGGACTAAGTATGAACAAATGAAAAGGCAAGAAAAATCCAGTATTTGGAAGAGATAATACTATTACAAAAATTATTGCTGATGAAAAATGATACAGGTTCTTAGAACTGTTATTCAACCTGATTCTTTCTGTTGTCACACTGAATGTATCAAAACAAACTAAACCCCAAACTCAAATATCAAATCTGTGACTAAGAGAAATCTCAAAAAGGAAAAGTTGTTCTTTTTACCAATATATTTAATAGCTTCACATGAGATCTAAAAATGACATTCCAACAGCTACCCAGGTCTTCTCTGAAATAAAGCTATCTTTGTAACATAAACAGGATCTTGCTTTAAAGCCGTCTCAGACTTATTTTAAGATGACAGTCCAGGCAGGGTGGCTCATGCGCTCATGCCTGTAATCTTAAGTGCTTTGAAGGTCAAGGCAGGATTCCTTGAGCCCAGGAGTTTGAGGTTACAGTGAGCTATGACTGGGTCACTGCACTCCAGCCTGGACAACAGCAAGAAGCTATCTCTAAAATAATTTTAATTAAAAAGATGGCAACTAAAAAAGTATGCAAAACAATTAAACATGTACCCTGACACTACAATATACATTTACAATCAATCAGTTATTTGGAGAAGTAGAAACATGTTGACAAGCATCTTGGGAAGTCAACTTTTTAAAGAACATCCTAGTAAGACTGTTAGCAAATGTTATGTACACTCTCAAGTCAGATTCTCAAATCATCTTTTTTTTTGTTTGTTTAAAGAAATTAAACAGTTTTTGTCTTTGATGGCTCTTCTTTGTGATTTTGCCAGAAAATATAAGGAAAAGGTCATGATTTGCGGCAGCACTTCCGAAATCCACGGCCTTCTGTGCACACACAAAAATTAAGCGTCTCACTACTCTGACCGCCACTAGGGCAAAAGGGGAAAAATTAAGGATACTTCCAAGAGTTTTTCACAGTGAGGTAAATCACAGAATGATACAAAATAATGAAACTTTATGAGAAAATCACTGCCAGATCCCGAAGTATGCGGAATTGACTGGCAAGCCCAGACGTGGCTTCTCCTGCAGGGGAGCCGGGGTTGCTGCCTTCAACCACCCGCCCGCCCAGTTGATGCACCGGCCCCTAGGCTGGCACTTGGGAACACACTTGGCCACCCTCTCGGCCCAATCTGAGCCCGGAACATTTCCCTTTAACTCCAGGCACCGTCCCAGTCCTGAGAACAGAAGCGCGATTAAGATCAACCGGTTCCCAAACTCGAGGGGTCCCACCGCCAAAACCACGTCTCAAAACGCCACGTTAGTTCACCTCCATTAAAGAAACAGACTCAGGCTCTGGCCATTCTCTTAATTTTTCTGGCCTGAAATGTTCATCATAACTCGAAGTTTTGGTGGCAGCCATGGACAGAATCCCTGAGGGGAGAAAAGGTAAACTGAGGCTGGGGAAGCCAGTTACCGTTGAGAACCAGGCCTGGGGGCTCGGGAGGGTTCGAATCCCGCTCGGCCCCTTTCTAGCTGGGCCGTCACCCAACAAACCGGGATCCTCGGCGCCCCGAGCACTTCAACAAGGCCGGCTACCCGCACCCGTGTAGTCCCCGGGCCTCCCTGGGCGCCACGGCTCCCGGCCCGGAGGCCTCCCCCGGCCCCACCTCAGGCCAGCTCCGGGGGTCGCCGCAGACCCCGCGGCCCCGTCCGGGTGCGGCTCCCTAGCGGCCGCGTCCTGGAGCTGCTGCGAAGGAAGGAGCCTCTGGGCCCGCGCGTCTGGGGCGCATGCGCCACACAGGCCCCGTCTGGGTGCGGCTCCCTAGCGGCCGCGTCCCGGAGCTGCTGTGAAGGAAGGAGCCCCTGGGCCCGCGCGTCGGGAGCGCATGCGCCGCATAGGCCCCGCGTTGCGGCCCCGAAGCCAGCTGGACCGCGACGCGGACGTCGGGGGAAAGGGAAGGCGCCATTTGAGTTCACAGCAAACGGAAACGCGGTGGTGAAGCCCAGAGCCCGGCCCTCGCCCTCCCTCCACCGCTGTCTCGGGGGGCCCTCCCTCCACCGCTGTCTCGGGGGGCCCTCCCTCCACCGCTGTCTCGGGGGGCCCTCCCTCCACCGCTGTCTCGGGGGGCCCTCCCTCCACCGCTGTCTCGGGGGGCCCTCCCTCCACCGCTGTCTCGGGGGGCCCTCCCTCCACCGCTGTCTCGGGGGGCCCTCCCCTCGCGGCCCCGGCGGGCAGACGGGCCTTCAACCGCCAAGGCCCCCGCCGCCATTCTGGACTTTGATCGAGGCAGGTGCATGAATAGCAAAGAGAATTTACCATTTACCTGTAAGATTGAGGGCGACAACGTCAGAGAGGAATGGTTTTTAGCTACGCGTCTGGCGTCGTACAGGCTCCCGCTGAAGGGGGAAGGTGCCGCAGGTGGACCTCGTTTGGATTCTGATGTGACGAAACCGACTTCAAACCATGTGGGCCCATCAGGAAAATACGAAACACTACGTATTTAGTGTCATCTAGGAATTACCGTTAATAGTTTAAGGTACATTATCACAACCAAGATTGACATTGCTGCCATCAAGATACAGGATATTAACACCACTACAAGGATTACTCTGTGTTCAGCCAATGTTTTTTCAGGCTTTTTTTTTTTTTTTAAAGTCCTGCCTGTTTCTCTCGTCCTTCAGGGATTCTGATGACATGAATATTATTACAGCCTGTAAGCTTCTGTTCTTCTCCCCCGCCTCCTGCCCTCAGTCTATTTTCTCATTTTTTTCAGATTGGGTCATTTCTATTGTTCTATCTTCCAGCTCATTGATTATTTCCTCCATCTACTCATTCTACCGTTGAGCTTATCTGCTGAGCTTTTTATTTTAGTTATTGTAATTTTCAGGTCTACAATTTTCGTTTGGTTCTTTTTTGTATCTCCTGTTTGCTCAGGGTTAATTTTTCACTTGCTTCAAGTGTATTCATATTTGCTCATTGAAACATTTTTCTTATAGCAACTTTAAAACTCTTTGTGGGCTTATTCTAACATCTTTGTCATCTCAGTGTTGGTCTCTACTGATTGTCTTTTTCATTCAATTCAAGATCTTCCTGGTTCCTGATATGATTATCTTTTATTGAAGTCTGAATATTTTCAGTTTATATTATGAGATTCTGAACCTTACTTAAGCTTTCTGTTTTAGCTGGCTTTATCCAACACCAATCTAACATGGTGAATGAGGTTACCACAACATTACAGCCAGGTGGAGATAGGAATCCCGGTACCCCAGTTGGCCTTCATTGACACTTGAGGGGCCAGAGTTCCTTATAACTGCTGTGTAGACCATGATTTAGAGATTCTATTCAGGCTAACTGCGGGCCCATTCAGCAAATTAGTTCTTTATATGGAATAATCTTCTCAAGAAAAGGAGCTGAATCTATCTCACCTTTACATGTTTCTCATAACATGGGACCATCCATGACTGGCCCAAATAGCAGGCAAACAGAAAATTGCTGTTGAGTGGACCACGCAGAAAGGTGTAATACACTGATGGCTTAAACTACATTAAGTATAAGCAAAAGGCGATTCAAAATAGGATTTATAATTTCTACCTAGCTGTTTCCCTACTTAATTTGAAAACAAAAGTTTCCCTGATTTACTGAATCAAATTATTTCAATCTCATATGATCTAAAAGTTTATCTGAGCATTTGTTTGTTTACTTGATGTTCCCTGGCAATGTCTTTTTTACATGGTGGAAATAACTTAAAGATTCTCCTTTCAATAGGTAGTGCTTCACTGAGTCTTCACCCAGGCTCTTGTTGCAGGCCCTGAGTCTCTTTCTATATACTACAACTAAGTCAGTTAATCACACAGTATTAAAATCTTTGGTTTACTATCTGTTTCTCCCACTAACTTTAGGGCAGAGGGCCTATGTCTACTCATCTTTATATCCCCAGAAGCTAGCAGAGCATCTGGTAAAAATAGGCACTTAAATACTTACTAAGTGAATGATGAATAAATAAATGAATGAGACATAATCCCGACATCTACACGAAATGAAATTTCAATGTCAACATATTAAAAAAAACATTTAAAACACTGAACACTCGTCTACCAAGAGAGCATCAAACCTTTTGAAGCTTTGCAGTAGGCCCCTGGTTGCCATTTTGGTCTGGCTAAGTATTTCTGGTCATTTATAACTGTAACAGAGAAAAGCATTTCTATCCAAAAAGTCTCTTTAAATAAAAAAGCCTATGCCAGTCATGGTGGCTCATGCGTGTTAATCCCAGCAGTTTTCGAGGCCAAGATGGGAGGATCGCTTGAGGTCAGGTGTTCAAGACCAGCCTTGGCAACACAATGGGACCTAGTCTCTACAAAAAGTTTAAAAATTTGCTGGGCATGGTGGCATGCACCTGTAGTCCCAGCTACTCAGGCAGCTGAGGCAGGAGGATCACTTGAGCCCAGGAGGTTGAGGCTGAAGTGAGCTGTGCTTGCATTACTGCACTCCAGCTGGGAGAGAGAACACCTTGTCTCAGAAAACAAAAATCCCAGTGTTTGTGAAGTGTACATATTAACCTTAACCCTAAGAACAAACTTGCACCTAGTTGTTTTGGGTATTTTGGGATGGAGTCTCGCTCTGTCACCAGGCTGGTGTGCAGTGGCATGATCTTGGCTCACTGCAACCTCCACCTCCTGGGTTCAAGCAGTTCTCCTGCTTCAGCCTTCTAAGTAGCTCGAAGTACAGGTGCATGCCACCACGCCCAGCTAATTTTTGTATTTTTAGTAGAGACGGGGTGTCTTCATCTTGGCCAGGCTGGTCTCTGTCTCTTGACCTCATGATCCATCCGCCTTGGCCTCCCAAAGTGCTGGGATTATAGGCGTGAGCCACGGTGCCCAGCCCTGGATTTTTAAAGCGTGAAATAGATTTCAGCTGCCTTTCATAAAGAAAACTTTGGAAATTTCTAAACTTACCTGAACAGAGGAATGGCTATGGAAAAGGCATTAATGACTGACTGATTCATGGAACAGAACTGATTTACCAAAACTTTTCTCCTTCTAGATAAAGTCAAGGTGCAGTAACAATATCCCTGTAATGCTGATGTGATTTCTAGAAGTCTGTTTTAACTGATGAGGTAATATAAAAGGGAAAAAATGCCAGAACTAGAGTATTATAAAATCCTTCAGGGTCTCCCCATAAATTCCAGACCCCTTACCATGACTAAGATTCCTGCCTGGCTTTTCAGGCTCAGCTTTCTTCAGTGATTCCTGCCCTCCTTGCTCCACGTGGTGGATTAGTGATGCCTGCATGTCCCATCTCTCTGGCAAATCCCTGACTCACAGAGGTAGACTCTTTTTTTTTTTTTTTAATGGAATCTCACTCTATTGCCCAGGCTGGCGTGCAGTGGTGTCAGCTCACTGCAACCTCCACCTCCCAGGTTCAAGTGATTCTCCTGCCCCAGCCTCCAGAGTGGCTGGGATTATAGGCACCCACCACAACACCTGGCTAAAATTTTTGTATTTTCAGTAGAGATGGGGTTTTCCCATGTTGGCCAGGCTGGTCTTGAACTCCTAACCTCAGGTGATCCACCCGCCTCAGCCTCCCAAAGTGCTCGGATTACATGGGTGAGCCACCACGCCCAGCCAGAGGTGGACTCGATGGCAGCGCCTCCCTACATGACCCTGTTCTTGGCTGTGGCTAATTGATCAAGGAATACACAGCTGACCCAACTTTACGATCAGATTCTCCTAGCTTTCTTCTAGGATTAGACTTCTAACCAAAACGGACACTCGGAAAGGTGTGAATCACGTTCATGACAGCAGCCCTGAAGGGTCTGAGATGTACGCTGCTCAGGGGGCAGTGCTATCAAGGTTCCTGCCCTTCCTGTGGAATTCAGTTTTTTCTCAGGGTTCTGTAAGATGCTTTAGCACTCTTCCAATGGATTCTTTTTTTTTTTTTTTTTTTTTTTTTTCAATCCCAACCACTAGACCACCAGGGACCGATGGATTCCATTTGTGCTTATGTTAGCTCTGGTTAGCTTGTTACTTACAACACAAAGGATCTTAAATATAGAGATAGTACAAGGCTTCAGAGGAAATGTGAGGTATTTGGAATTGGTATTCATCTCAAAATGCAAGGAAAGGAAAGGCATCTACTCTTCATCATGTGGAATGGGCAACTATATTTGTGATACAATATCTGGGATTTGCTTCAAAGTCATCCAGTTAGGGTCAAGAAGCAGATATGCATATACACAAAGCAAGACTGGCCATGAGGTAATCAGTATTGAAGCTGGATGTCAGATAAGTAAGGATTCATTATATAATTATTACTATTTTTCTATACTTCTCTGAAATTGTTCATAGTATAAAGTTTTTAATCTAGTTTTCAGCCAGGTGCAATGGCTCACGCTTGTAATCCTAGCATTTGGGAGGCTGAGGCAGGTGGACCACTTGAGCCCAGGAGTTTGAGATCAGCCTGGGCAACATGGTGAAATCCTATCTCTACAAAAATTAACTAGGCACGATGGTGTGCACCTATAGTCCTAGCTGCTCAGGAGGCTGAACGGCAGAGAATTGCCTGAGCCTGGGAGGTCCAGGCTGCAGTGAGCTGTGATCATGCCACTACACTCCACCCTGGGCAACAGAACGAGCCCATTTCAAAAAAAAAAAAAAAATCTAGTTTCACTTAGAACCATATGTTGATTGGGGGTGAGACATTGGGAGACTGGATAACTGTCATGGTAGAAGAATTTAAGGAGGATGAGAAATATGAAATAAGAGAAAAATGGATAATTCAAGACAATATAAAGCTCGGATGTCAGAATGTACAAGGCATTAAAATATAGGGCCACCATTTTTAATAAATCTTACTCTGTCTGTGGCCCTCAAGTCATAAATTGATCCTGTTGGTTGCTGAATTGCAACTCCAGTTGGATTAACATTGCATCCAGTCTTTTATACAAAATCTAGGGCATTGACTAGGAAAGAGGGAGATCTTGGGGAACAGACAGAACTGAAGAAGTCAGACTCCCACAAGTCCTCTTAAGAATGTTACCATGGTGTCCCTTTGCCTAAAGAAAACAGAATTCCACTCTCCTGTGCTCTGTGTCCTACCATGTCTTCCTGTGACCACGATTCAAACTCAACATAAGCCAGAGGGCAATGTTTAGAATCAGAATCAGCAAGTGAGTCTCTTTATACCCCAAATGCTTTTTTTTTTGTTTTTGAGATGAAGTCTTGCTCTGCCACCCAGGCTGGAGTGCAGTGGTGCAATCTCAGCTCACTACAGCCTCCACCTCCCGGGTTCAAGCAATTCTCATGCCTCAGCCTCCCAAGTAGCTGGGATTACAGGTATGCACCATCACACCTGGCTAATTTTTCTATTTTTTAGTAGAAACAGGGTTTTGCCACGTTGGCCAGGTTTGTCTCAAACTCCTGAACTCGACTGATCCACCTGCCTCGTCCTCCCCAAAGTGCTGGGATTACAGGCGTGAGCCACCTCACCTGGCCAACCCCAAGTGAATTTTTAAATTTTCTATAAAGAATGTTAGAAAACCCCAGGAAGGATATGTGGATGTGGCCATGAAGGGTGCATGACCAAAGGGAGCATACCTTAGTTTAGGAACAAACCAAATAAATGAAGATGGACACTTAGTAAGGTAGCTATAATTAATTTTATTGGTTCATTCGGCAATATTTCTTAACTTCTGGGGAAAATACATGGTATTGCCATTTCTTAATTATCACAGACACTGAACTTAATAATTGAAGTTTGTTGCAGATGGTTTTTTTTAGAGACACAATTCTTGAGTGCCTTCCTTGGCCTTCACCCTGATTCCCGCAAGCAAACAACTTCCTCTGAAGCAGCCTTATTTTGTGTATCCTTTCACCAATCAAGGATCAGGATGTGTGCTCCTTGGTTGCTAAAACCTTTTGAAGATGACAAAAGGGAAGAGTTGAGTGTGGTATGGGGATGAGGGGCTTGCAAGAGCAGAAAGAGTTCCCCAGCTAAGCTAAGCTGATCCCCCTGGAAGCCTGTCCTTCCAGAGCCAGCTGACTCATTTCACAGGCAGGGTGTCCCCCAAGCCTCTTGCCTCAGCCTTTCCTTGCACTGTTTGTATTCAGAAGCACTTAGAGATTAAGGGATATGGCCAAATAGATGGAGTGGATCACTGATGTGTGATATGATTTGAGGGAACCCCTGTGGTCCCAGCTTTCAGATGGCAACATGTTTGGAGTACTAATTTCCACTAGGATTGTTGTGATTTAGAAAATAGTAGGTTCCTTTCTTCCCTTTTCTCTTCAACCTCTAAATCTCTATTCTGTGTCTCACTAACAGCTGATGATCTCACTTCATTGAGAAAATTAGTAAACAGAAGGAAATATCTTCCTTTGCAAAATCCACTGAGCCAGTTTGATGTACATCCATGTACGAGCCTTCCCTCTTCATACGATGGATAGTGTCCTGTCCACCTGAGTCCAGGGTGCTGCCTCCTCACCTGCGGAAGGATTCTGCCCTTCTATTATGCCCCTCTCTCTCCAGCATCATCAGATCTCCCTCTCTACAGGAGCATTCCCATCAGGAAACATACATGTTATAATATCCATATCGCTGATAAAAATGTTCTCCTGCCTTACCCTCTCCAGACACTTTATAGCAAAACCCCACAAAAGCATTGCTTATTCCAGGCGTCCCCAAACTTTTTACACAGGGAGCCAGTTCACTGTCCCTCAGACCGTTGGAGGGCCACCACATACTGTGCTCCTCTCACTGACCACCAATGAAAGAGGTGTCCCTTCCTGAAGGGCGGCAGGGTGGCCAGATAAATGGCCTCAGGGGGCCACATGCGGCCTGCAGGCTGTAGTTTGGGGACACCTGGATTCTGTCTCCACAGCCTCACCCCATCACTCCTGAACCCACTCTAATCAAGCTTTCCTTCCAGCTGCTCCACTTAACCTCTCTGATGAAAATCAGTGGTTATGCATACATCTCCCCAGTCATCATTTTACCTCCCTCTCAGCAGCATTGCCACGTGGCTGAGAGTGCCCTCTTTTCTGAAATCCCTCTTCTACTGGGCCTCTGCAGCAGCACACACTTCTACTTTTCTTCCTTCTGTACCAGCCTCTCACTCCCTGCATGTTCCTTCACCAGCTCTGCCTCCTTGCCCCAACCTCTAAATCTTGGCATTCCACAGGACTAGCCTTCGGCCCTATTCTCATTAACACCCCCAGGTGATCACATGATTTCAAGCAGCATTTATTCGAGGATGACCCTCAAACACCTATCTCCACCCCCAGTCTCCCATGAATTCCAGACCTGTACATCCACCTGCCTACTGCGTATCTCCTCTTGGGTATGGGATGGGCATATACAAAGATACTGAAATTGATCTAATTTTAGTCTCAGTATCTCTTGAGGTGATAGAGGCTATGTTCCTAAGAATGAAGTAGTGGCAGTTCCATCAGATGCTTAGAGCCAGAGACAGTCCTAAGCAAACAGCTGGAAAAGAAATCATCCAGTGAGAAATTCTGAGCAATAGGAATTTTCTCTGAAGATCACTTGGAAGTGCCCCATGAGAGAAACCATTAGCTTCAAACCCCTGCCAATCCCAGAGACTGCCTTACACTAAAACAGATGAACATAAAATTAATAGGTAAGAACTTTCCTGCCCATCCATTTCTTCTCTTTCCTCCCTCCCACTGTGAACTCTAAATTAGAGATCAGAAATCACAGTGGCAAGAAACAGGGGTGAGGAATAGGACAGTAACAAGGGAAAAGAGAAGACATTTACCTCCCTTTTCTTTCTTGTAGCTCCAGCCTCAGTAGCCCCAACCCGGAGGAAGGGGACCTTAAATGAAGATTGAAGCGTTGGTCATTATATCAGCCTGACCATGTTACTGAACAGACTGTCTTCATAACCAGAGGCTTTTTATTATCTGAGAATACCCAGGGCAGGGGAAGAACTAACCCCAACAGAACAGGCTTAAATGGACAGTGAGGGGAAGAGTTCAGTTGCTGGAAAATCACACCCTATGAATCCTCCTCCTGTGTTGTAATGGTTGCAATGGAATCAGCCCCAAACACGATTATTCTTCACTTCTGCACTTCTCTCCCTGCAAACCTGCTTTCCTCCCAGACCTCCCTATGTCAGTGACTAGGACCACAATCCATCCTGGCCCTCCCGCACTGATTTCTCGCATTCACCCACTTCCACACTGATGAACGAGCTCTGCCAGCTCCTCTCCACCTGCGCTGGAGTCTGGAGCCCTTGCTGTCACCTGGCCTGGAACCCTCACTGCCTGACGGCCCTGCCTCAGCTCCAGCATCCGCAGTGTCTGTGCAGCAGCCATGTTCCTCTTTGTACAATGTAGATTAGATATTATTTCTCCCCTACCCCAAACCTCCACCTGGCTTCCCCTTACACTTTGGATTTTATTCTAACTCCCTCTCCAGACCTGTAACCCCCACCCGCCTGGCTTCTGCCTCTGCTCTAGCCTCACCTCCCACCCTGTCTCGGCACTCACCATCTTCAGCCTCCTACTTTTTCTTGCTGTTTCCCGAACACACCAGCCTCACTCCCATCTCAGGTTTTTGCCTGGGCCCATCCATTTGCACAACACTCTTCCCCCAGGTCTCTGCATGTCTCACTCCCTGGGAGCCTCAGGCTGCTGCACAAACATCATCTCAGCGGGGAAGTCTCCTCTGACTTCTCCGTCTAAAACAGTGCCCCTCATCCGTCCTCACCCCCTCTGCCTGCTCTGTTTTCCTCAGTGCACTTATTACTAACTCACGCTATGTTATGTGATTATGTGGTTGACTATGGTCTATTTCCTGGTCAAAATGTAAGCTCCAGGAAATTGGAGCCATCTCCGTTTTGTTTCCCAACGTGTCTCCAGCCCCTCAAACACTGCCTGGCTTAAAGTTGGTGCGTGGTAAAATTCTGAGAAAGCAAGCAAATAGGCACATGGGGGGATACCAAAACATGGCAGTAAATGGAGCTAAAAACACAAAAGAAAAGGTTAATACATTTTCATGGGTAAAAAAGTAGCGCCCTTATCCTTTAGAGATAGGAGTGGGAAAATGGAGAGACAGTCAGAAAGGAAGATGGCAAGATTGAAGGATTCTCAGAAGACAGGACATTCACATGCTGTTTTCTAACTGGGAGTTGGGAGGAAGGCTGTGACTCTGGAATACACGCCTAAAAGGCTGACTCTGGATGGGAGAACTGGAGGGAGATCCACATAGACCCAGGAAGGGTAGGCTGGGCTAGTTCAGTCAAATGGCCACCAAGTTTAACTATCATTACCTTAGGATGAGAAATCTGTGCTCTGTAAACACCTACATTTCTTTTTTCTTTCTTTCTTTCTTTCTTTCTTTCTTTTTTTTTTTTTTTTGATACAGAGTTTTGCTCTTGTTGCCCAGACTGAGGTGCAATGGTGCGATCTTGGCTCACCGCAACCTCTGCTTCCCGGGTTCAAGTGATTCTCCTGCCTCAGCCTCCCAAGTAGCTGAGGTTACAGGCATGTGCCACCACACCAGGCTAACTTTGTATTTTTGGTAGAGATGGGGTTTCTCCATGTTGGTCAGGCTGGTCTTGACCTCAGGTGATTCGCCTGCCTCAGCCTCCCAAAGTTCTGGGATTACAGGCACAAGCCATGGCACCTGGCCCAATACCTATATTTCTATAAACTTTACATTTTAAATGTTGGGGCTTTTTTTCTTCATTTACTGCACATTTTATTTTCATTGTGTTGGGCTGGCAGAGGAAGGAGTCATGCACCAGGGTATACAGTTGTCCACTTGCATGGTCATTCAGACAGAACCAAGAATCCAGGTTCTAAATGTCTTTAGGTTCAGAATCTAGATCAGGGTCAGAAGAGGTTGATGGCTGCTGCTAGGGGCTGGGGGCTGCACAGACAACGGCAGACAATAGGCACAGAGCTTACTGTGGAGGGCTCTTGTCTGACACCCGAGAATCCTTCTTGGAGATCACATTGGGGACCAATAGCAGAGCCTCAGAGCAGACAGGGGCTGATAAGAGTTGGGGGGATGATCACGTCTGCACAGAGAGGACCTGAAAAGGCATCATCCTTTTATCTGTATCCCAGAAAGCTGTGTAGGGCCTCTTTGTAAGGATAGGGCCAGGGTTGCTCCTTGACCTTGAGTTGGCCTCATTAGGAGTCCAGTATAAGCCCTGCAAACTTGTCAGCTGGAGACATCGGTGCCAGCTCTTCTTTATGCCCCTGAATAATTCATGATTATTCTTCTCAGCTCTTCAAATGCAAGAAATTCCCATTCATTTAGGAAACTCTGGATCTCCTGGTTACTCGAGGTTTTAATTAACTGGTCTGGGAGTTTTCTGGTTCTCCAGTTTGATTTTCCTCCTTTACTTCCAAGGCTTTCTAGTAATTTTGGTCTCAATCTCACTTTTTCCAATCTTATTCCTGAGTTTTCTCCCGGATTCTTTCCACTAGTCACAGGGCCTAATCCAGGGTCCACAGAGAACAAGCCCTCGCTCAGCCCTAATGCAATCAGGAGTCAGAAGGTGCCGAGTGAGGGAAGTGCAGGTGCTCCTCTCTGCTGCTGGCAATCTCTCCATATGGGGCTTTCACTTGTTAAATTTTACTACTTTCATTTAGTATTGGTCCTTTTGAAAATGTTCTACCTAACTTGACTGCCTTAAAGGGAACAAAATGTGGGGCCTGGCTTGGCTATACCAAGTGTTAAATGGTAGAGACAGGGTGGAGATGGCGGAACAAGAGAAGAGCTGGGGAAATCCTGGACAGCATGCCCCGCCCCCCACCAGGGGCACTCCCATCACGTGGCTCCACCAGGGGGCCCGAGCACCTCTCTCTGTTCCCTCTGAATAAAGGGCACCTGCCCCTCAGCTGCTTCTAACCTATCGCCAACTGCCTCCTCTCTTCTTGGAAGCCTGCCATACAGAGAGAGTTCCCAGGTGCTCAGGTTTTGGTGTCAGTGATTGCCGCCTTATGTATTACGAAATGGGACAGCCCCAGCTCTTACCCATCCTGGTCTTCCTCCTGTTCCACCTCCTGGCTGAGGCTCAAGGACGAAAAATGCCCTTCAGAGGTGGCCTCTTTGGCACTTGGATTCTTCGCCTTTTGATAACACAACGGTTCTTTTTCTAGACAGGATGACCCTTTGTTTCTGCAAGAAGGAACCAGAAAGGAAGGAATTCTCTTAACTCTCAACTCAATTGTAGCACTTATTTTTATTTAAATTTGAAGTTGATGAGTTCTATGTGAATTTATATACTTTTGTGAAAATAAACGTATTTACTTTTTTTTGTGAAAATAAACCCAAGTAAATAGTATTGCCTTGCTCTAGTCATAGTTTCATCTGTAACCTCTGTGTGCTGCTGAATCAAGCAGCTTTGGGTCCTTTGGAGTGAATGACCCCCTCATAGTGTTGTCCAGTTTGTCTTCCCTGAGAAGATCTAACTCTGTCAAAGACAAATATGCCTTTTCCACCCCTGCTGCCAGAATTGGGATGCTTCCCTTATTCACAGAAGAGAATCCAGTCTTCCTCCTTCTTCCAGAGGGAGTCTAGACTTAAGCCTCTAGTCTAAAACATAAGCCCCCATTACTCAGACAATGCAATATTCTCCTTCACATGTGGGTCTTGCTCTGCTAGAAGATGTATTTGAGAACAAAATCTCTCCTTTTATATCATTTATCAAAATTAAATAGAATTAAGATGCTAATTATCCTAAAATCTTACCCAAGCAGGTCTATTTGAGACTCTGGCAATTAGGGATTGCAAAGGAACTTACTCCTTTAGAGCCTAATATGTAAGAATGATTCTCAGTTCTATTTTTTCAATCAATCATTCTATCTTTTAAGGCCTTCAGCTACCAAAGGAATAGGGCTTAGTTTGGACACTTCCATTTCTCCCTCAATTGTGGCTCCTATTCAAGAGACACCCCAGCACCCAGCAGATGATTAAACTACACCTCAAGGACAGTAAGCCCATGTTGGCCAGTGCCCACCCCAGCCATCACCCAGCTCCCAGGTCCTTGAGAGACAATTAGTCATTCTCTCTGCTGGTCATACCAGCATCTCCAAAAGCCCTCCAGCTTCTGCCACACTGTATTTATTCAAAAAATTCCAAGCTGTTCAGTAAAAGGAAACTACTGCAGCTTACTTTGGGCACTTTTTAGAAACAGAGAATTGAAGGCTGATCTCCTAGAAAGAGTCACATAAGCTCACTTTTCTTCCACCTTCCTAGGTTCTTTTTTTTATTGTTATCAACAGTTTTAATAAGGTATAATTTATATGCCATAAAATTCACTCGTTTTGAGTATACCAGTCAATGGTTTTCAGTATATTTACTGAGTTATGCAACCACCACCACAATCTTATTTTAAAATATTTTCATCAACCCCAAGGCCCCATGCTCATTAAGTCACTCTCCACTCCCATCCCCAGCCCTAGGCAACTACTATCTACCTTCTCTCTTTGGATTTGCCTTTTCTGAACATTCTCCATTAAAAAAAAAAAAAAATACCATAGGCTTTTGTTATTGGCTTCCCTTCACTGTGTACAACAGTTTTGAAGTTCATCTATGCTGCAGCATGTAACAGCATTTCTTTCCTTGTAATTGCTAAGTAATATTCCATTGTATGGATATACCACATCTTGTTTATCCATTCATCAGTTGATAGACATTTGGGTTGTTTCTGCTTTTTTGGTTGTTCTGAATAATTATGCTGTGAACATCCATGTCCTAGCCTCTATGTGGATATATGTTTTCATTACTCCTGAGTAGAAACCCAGGAGTGGAATTACTGGGTCACATAATAATGTAATGTTTAACATCTTGAGAGACTGCCATGCTGTTTTCCAGAGTTGCTGCACCATTTTACTTTCCCTCCAGCAATATCTGAGGGACAGCACTACTTTTAACCAGATAGTTACAAGTTACATAATTATGTAGAGACATCTCTTACTTTTAATTCTATAACTAGTTAGCTGAGATGATTCCCCACATTACATGCTTAGTATTTGATAGTATGTACCAATTCTCTGTTTACAGCATCTTTTCACTCTGGGAACAATATTGTAACAGCTACTACCCACCAAAACCAGTCCCAAACTCCATTTATACTACTCCAATTCAATTTTAAATCTCCTGCCCTTTTAGCTTTAGCACAAGTTAACAATTTTTTTCCCATTTCTGCACTTGTTATTTCTGTGTTAGCTACTTGTTCTTTCAGACCAGAAAGGCCTGGGGAGTGTTGCAACCTCACCAGACACAGTGGTGGGAGATGCCTGGTGTCCTGCTGCTGTGCAGCCTGGTGTGTGCCTCAGCACTGTCTCAGCAACATGAAAGGATGGCAGGGGATGGCAGCACAGCCTAGCATCTTAGCGAAAGACGAGCAAAGCTATGGAAGAGCAGACTTACTTGTAAATAACTGCTTTTCTTTCTTCCTGGGATTCCAGAAGAGAAGGAGTTCTTGCCAAGGGTTTCAGATCAAAACTACAGTTGTTAAAATTCACTTTCACCTTTAACCTTTAACAAGATAACAAGTGTGAGAAGGTTTTTTGTTCTTTTTTGCTGTTGTTTTTTTGAGATAGGATCTCTGTTGCTCAGGTTGCAGTGCAGTGGTTGTGATCACAGCTCCCTGCAGCCTCAATCTCCTGGGCTTAAGAGATCCCTCCCACTTCAGCCGCCTTCTCAAGTAGCTGGGACTACAGACATGCACCACCATGCCACGGGATTTATTTTTATTTTCTGTAGAGATGGGGTCCTGACATGTTGCCCAGGCTGGTCTCAAACTCCTGGCCTCAAGTGATCCTCCTGCCTTGGCCTCCCAAAGTGCTGAGATTATAGGCATGAGCCACGCACCTTGTGTTATGAGAATGTTTTGAAAACAATACTAACTCACATTTATATAGGAATTATTATTATATGTTGACTGCTAAATATAGAGACCAAAACATCATTCTCCAAACTGGTATACATTCTTGGATGAAATTAGTTGTTTTAGAGTTTCTGAAACCATGATGTAGATTGATTTACTATTTACTGAGAAGCAAGGATCAGCTATAAGCAAAGTTTAAAGTAATCCCTATCCACAAGAGCTTAAACTCCAAAGTAAAAAGAAGCCACAGAGATTGTGTTGTTTATAAGCATTATGTAAAATGCTTTTCTCCAGAGAAAATCCAAACATTCTACTTCCCGGTCCCTTGCCATGGGGTGGCAGACAGGTACCTTAGAGTCCTCCAATCTTGCACCCATGCAAGGATTGACTGGAAGGGTGATACTGGCCCTGTGTAGAACATACATTTTGCTGGCACAAAGAAAACATAGAATGTAGTATAGCAATGTGTGAAATGCTTGAGGAAGAAAAGGATCCAATCACCAAGATATGAAAGCACTAAGGACCTATTGGGAATGAACAAGCATAATGGGGGGAAAAAGGAAATTTAAGAAATTAAAATCTTAATATTAAACACAGTGAAGAAAGAATTAGCAAACTGGAAAATATATACAAAGAAATTACCAAAGGAAATGGAAAATTTGAAGAATATTAAAAAAGATATTAAGATAATAAGAAGGCCTAATATATCTCATCTGAGCCCAGAAGCAGAATGCAAAGAATGAAGAAAAAGCTATGTTTAAAATGATAATTGCTCTATATTTTCCTGAAGTGATGATAAACATGATTACAGAGATCTAGGAAGCACAACATATATAGCAGTAGGTTAAATAAAAAGAAATCCAGCCAGATGCAGTGACTCATATTTGTAATTCCAGGACTTTGGGAGACTGAGGTGGGCAGATTGCTTGAGTCCAGGAGTTCAAGACCAGCCTGGACAACATGGTGAAACCTCATCTCTACTGAAAATACAAAAATTAGCTGGTTGTGGTGGTGCATGCCTGTAGTTTCATCTACTTGGGGAGGTGAGAAGTGGTGATCGCTTGAGCCCAGGAGGTAGAGGCTGCAGTGAGTCAAGATCGCACCACCGCACTCCAGTCCGAGTGACAAATCAAAACAACAACAACAAAAACCAAAAACCAAAACCGATACCCAGACACCAGCAGTGAGAATGCAGGACACCTAAAGACAAAGAGAAGATCTTAACAGCAGCCACAGAAAAAGGACAAAAAATCAGAATGACAGCAGACTTCTCAAAAACAATAGAGGCCAAAAAACAAGAGAATTATGTCTTTAAAACATTAAGAGAAATAAATGTCAACCTAGAATTGTGTGCTCATCAACTTATCTTTAAAGGTAAACAAAAATTGAATTTTAAGGGCTGAACTTCAGAAAAAAAGAAAATGATCCCAGAAATTTGGTATAAAATGGAAGGAGGGACAGGATACATATTAAATTCTTTCCTGTTTGTAGCTGTCTTCCATATCTATATCTGCTACATAACTGTACAGAACTCCTATTGGTAACTTCAGATGGGATGTTTCCCTTTAGATGTACCCACACTAGAGATCATTTATTAAATTAATAAAACTATAAAACAAAGCATTGAGTGATTTAAATCCCAAGAAACTGTTGTTGTTGTTCCTCCTCATTTTTCTATTTTTATCCAAGGTTCTACCTTTGTCTGCTTTCTGTTAGGCTAGCTGACTCTTCTTTGTGTGTCCATAATAATATGTGCATATCAGCATTATTGTGTTTACCACATTGTTATAGAATGATCTGTTTAAATATCTGTCTTCTCTATTAGATTGTGAACTCTTTAACGGCAATTAAAACTCAATACATGATTCTTTGATGGATGAATTAATGTAATGTTATAGGATGAACTGTGTGCACCGAGAAAAATATCTTCCAATCCTAATCCCTGGCATCTACAAATGTGACCTTATTTGGAAATAGGATCTTTGTAGGTATTATCAGGTTAAAATGAGGTAATACTGAATTAGGGTGGTAAACCCTATCCCACTGACAGGTGTCCTTATCAGAAGAGGGGAATTTGGACACAGACACAGAGAAAAGACAATGTGAAGATGGAGACAGAGACTGCCGAGATAAGGCTATAAACCAAGGAACACCAAGGATTGCTGCAACCACCAGTAGCTAGGAAAGAGACAGGAAGCCTTCAGAGACAGGGGCCCTGCTAATACCTTGATGTTAGCCTTCCAGCCTCCAGGACTGTGGAGAATAGATTCCTATTGTTTTCAAGGTGCTCAGTTTGTAGTACTTTGTTATGGCAAGCCCAGTAAACTATTACATACAATAACAATTCTCAAAACTTCGAACTCCTTCCTGACTCTCAGTTCTCCCTGGCCTTCCAAATGTAGTCACCAAAATCTAGAATTCCCTTGTGTCATCATATCAATTCCTTTGTTTCATTCCTCTTGCCACCATCCTGACTAAGACTCTTATTGCCACAAATGTGGATTCTTATTTTTTTTTAACTCTTCAGTGATCTCCAGCCTCCAGTCCTATCCTATATCCAAACTGTCATATACCTCACAGGTCAGATTAAAGTTTGTAAAAACATCATCTCCAGCATCTCACTCCCTCCTCAGCTATCCTGACTCCCCATTCCCTACATGATAAACTCCCAACTCGTTAGCTAGTAGTGAAGATTCTTTGCAAAATGGCTACAACCTAGATTCACAGACTTAATCAATGACTGGTCTTTCATTCATTCATTACACAAACAAGTAAACAGGTGAAAACTGTGTGATCCATGAAAAAGTACATGGTGGGACAAAAGAGAGACTACTCTGTGCAGCCTAGTATAAGGAGGTGGTTTGGAACGACTTCAGAGAGGAATTTTTAAAGTGGCATTTTAAGAGAGTCTTGGAAACAACGTTTTCCCCCCCAAAAAAGGAAGGTCAGAGAGAAAGCCCAGATTGTACAAAGGCACAGATGTGTGAAGAATACCATTTATTTAGGTAGTTGTGGAAGACCTGGTATTGTTGGAGTAAAGAGTAGAAGGTAGAGAAAAATCAGCCCAATCTTATATGTCATACTAAAGAGATCACATTTAACAGAGGGACACAGGAATCACTAAAGACATTAAATTGGGCAGTAACATGACATGCCACATTTCACCCCAGTAGCACCATGCAACATAAGGGAAAGTATGGAACTGTGTTTCAGAATGTAGACTATGGAGTCAGAGACCTGAGTTCAGTTTCTGAGTCTACCACATTATGGCTATAAATAAGTCATTTCAACCTGGTGTGTATTGGAATCATCTGAGGATCTTTAAAAAAGACTCATTTCTAGGTCCCACCCTCAGAGATTCTGACTTCATTTGTCTAGGGTATGGCTTGGCTATCTGAGTTTTATTGATTGATTGATTTAGAGACAGAGTCTCATTCTGTTGCCCAGGCTAGAGTGGCATGATCTTGGCTCACTGCATCTCCACTTCCCAAGTTCAAGTGATTTTCCTGCCCCAGCCTCCTGAGTAGCTGGGATTACAGGTGTGCACCACCATGCCCAGCTAATTTTTGTATTTTTAGTAGAGACAGGCTTTCACCATGTTTGCCAGGCTGGTCTCAAACTCCTGACCTCAGATAATCCACCCATCTTGGCCTCCCAAAGTGCTGGGATTACAGGCATGAGCCACCATGCCTGGCCAGAATTTTTTTCTTAACGTTCCAGGATATTCCGATATAAAGCCAAAGCTAAAAAACACTGCTCTGAAATTGACAAGGTACTTAAGTCATCTGTGTAATAGTACCTATCAAATAAAGTTTCTATAAATATAAAACAAAATTAGTACATGTTAAGAAGTGTATAACTCATTCTGTTGATCAGCACATAAAATGTTCTCCAAGATAAACCACATAATAGGCCACAAAACAAGTGTCAGTAAATTTAAGAAAATCAAAATTATATCAAGTACTCTCTCAGACCACAGTGGAATAAAATTGGAAATCAACTCCAAAAGGAACCCTCAAAACCATGCAAATACATGGAAATTAAATAATCTGCTCCTGAATCATCACTGGGTCAACAATGAAATCAAGATGAAAATTTTAAAATTCTTTGGACTGAAGGATAATAGTGACACAACCTATCGTAACCCTTGGGATTCAGCAAAAGTGGTGTGTAGGGAATCCATGAGCCCTACACGTTGGGTGCCAGAATGTAGGGAGCCAGCCCTATATCACCCATGGGTACCCCGAGTTCAGTGGCGACAAAGGAATGAGAAAAAGACAGATTAAGAGAGATAGTGGGACCAGGGGACCATCACTCATTACTTTGGAGGAGGCAGTGAAGGCCCCGAGCTCTGAGCATCCACACTGTTTATTGATTACAATCACTTTGATCTATAGGGTAGGGGCGGAGTGATGGTGGGGAGACGGTGACGGTGACGGTGGAGTGAATCAGTGAACCGGAACTGGTGTGTCATTCTAAGGACTGATAACAGTGGCAGTTTGGGAGTTTCACAAAACAAGAACATGTGGTTATCTTTAGCCTATTATCTATGTGGAACACAGGCCTTACAAAGAACCTACAAGTCTGGCTACTTTATAGTGCTACAAAAGGGTTTTACATCCTTGAGCGCAATGTTTATAGTAGCAGA